CAGCAGATATCATATGCTATACTTTGTTTTGCCAACAGTTGACATACTAAAGCTTGTTTTAATCAATCTTCTTCACCTTGGTCCCTTTTAAAAGAATTGGGCTTGTAATGAAATCTAAAATGGAAGAGCTGTTCTCAAAACAGGTCAAGAATATGCAAGTTTTATCTAGTAGATATTCAATTTTTCTTGGTGGTTCTGCAGGTGGCAGCTCTAATGGTCAATATCCGTTCACAAAACTTTTCAAAGTGTTTCAAATATTTGAGATGTTTGGAATAAAAGCAGAACTGCATTAAAGACTTTAAACTTTTGTACAAAAGAGGTACAAAATAACTGCACTTAATTTCTAGTTGTGAAGACCACGGTTTTGATGGCAGACATAAAGGACTTCGGTGACATGAATGATATTTATGGTCAATGTAAGTAGACTTGCTGCTTTCTTACCAGTACAGCTTGCAGATTTGATGATATTCATTATAAGCAGTGTTCCAATGACTCGGCTAATGTGGTCCCAGGTTCTTTGAGACTTCAGTAGAAATGCAACATGAGAACAGAACATCTGTGTGCAAGCAGCATAACAAATAAGGCCAATTAGGTGTGGATTTGTCCTACCATTTCACTAACTTTTTTATATGCAGTTTGAGCTTCTACACCTTCTAGCCTTGAAGGATGCTATGTTGTCTCTAACACCATTCTGCTGTAGTCAGCCTTAAGATGCTTAATTTCAGACTGCGTATCTTCATTTCTTTAAAATCTGTTTGTATCTTTGACAAAGCTTAGTTTCTGTGTAAAGCTGAGCTACCCTGCTGCACTTGGAAATTAAATAGCAACGCGTGGTTAACCAAATTGCCTGTAAACTCAAGTTGGTGATTAGTGAGCTAAGTTCCTTATTTATGTAGATGTGGGTTTTGGTGACTTAGCAGTGTCTCGTGTTGAATGAAGTCTTTCTAGATGAACAACCTGTGTGTCAAAATGGAATTATGTTAAGTAAAGGGAAAACAGACAGGCTGGATACTTGTTGCCACAGAGCCCTCCTGCCTGTTTTTAAAGAAAGCACTTGTTGCTGTTCTTTGGTGTGAGTTATCAGCCTGCCTTATCCCTGCAGGAGCCTGACTGTACCATTTCTGAAGTTGGTGTTAACTTTCACTAGTAGAAAAAACTAGGGGGAAACAAATGAGAGGCATGAGGAGTTGAAGAGGAGAGAGTGTGGACTGAAGGTTATTTGTCTCATATTCTTGAACTTGAAACTTGATTGCGTTTTAGGCAAATGATTTTCTACTCTGTTGTTTATCAAGCAAACTTAAATGATTAGTGGATGTTTTTGTTTCAATTGCAGATTTCAAATCAAACTGCCCAGCCAGAGTATCCTTTCAGGTTGCTGCTTTGCCAAAAGTAAGTGTAACTTACAAAAATGAACACTGAAAGTCTTTGCTTCTGAAACATTATAACAGATTTCTCATTCTGTGGCAGCTTTGTTTGTGATTATTTTATTGAATATTCTTAAGTATTTAATTTTTGCTTTTAAGTATTTCAATCTTATTCCTGCCTTGTAAGAGTTCTGAAAACATGGGAGAACCTGGCAGTATGGTGAAAGATGGCTACAACCCTAGAAATGAGGGTTTCCAATACTTCAGGAAGAACACAGTGAATCTTTAACATTGCTAAATTAGTAATGCAACTGCCAGGAGTATATAATTTCTAGATGTCACTCTTTTATTCACATCAGGTCATGTTATATACCCAAGGGCTTCATAAAATAGGTATTTGAAGTTCCTGATATGTTTCTTCATTGCTTTCTCACAGGGTGCCCAGATTGAGATTGAAGCTATTGCCATTCAAGGACCCATCCAGAATGTTCCAGCCTCTCTATAAGTGAAGACTGAATGTCCTACACTGAGCTTACCTGGAAAGGTGCTTTCTTCTCAATTGCAGCCTTATGGTCTATGAAATGCAAGTATACAGTGACTTCTGCAGGCAAAGCCTGAAACCTATGAGTGCTGTTAAAGTCTGTTGGGTTTGATTATAGAACAGGAGCCTTATTTTGTGGTGGTATTTGGGTGTTAAAGTACACATTTTAGGTGCACGTATGACAGTTACGCTGGGGTGATCAGGACATACAAAAATCATTAATTGCAATAGTAGTTTTTTAGTAAAAATTTTAAATATTGGAGAAAAATGTGAGAAATGTGAAAACAGTAGAACACTTGTCTTGGTTAGCATTCATTTTCACTTCTGTGTTTTGGGAAATTCATTTGTATTCATTTCTAAACTGTCTGAAATGCTTTCTTTGCAGAATGGTTTAGCGCTGAGACTCAATTACACTTTTCATGCTGAAGCAATTGCTAATCAGGGTGGATATTCATTTCAGAAAGAAGAAAGTGATGCTTCTTCAAAATCACATCTTCGTAGTTACAAATCAGCTTCAAATGAATCTCTACCTGCAACATTTTTCATAGTCTTTTTCATAGCCATTCAACTTTGACTGTACTGTGATTGGGGGGAGAAAAAGACATTCTAATTATATGAGGGGGAAAAGCCTGTTTAATGAGAATAAATAATAATTGCATGTTTAGAAATGTGCTTGTCTCTTCTGGGAGCAAACTTTTCTTTTCCTGATTATACTTTGGTGTTCCATTAGGGGAAAAAAAAAACAAAACAACCAAAACCAGCAAAACCCAACATCCCTATCTTGCTTTTTCTTTAAGAAATGATTCAAACCAGAAGAGTAGGTTCATTATCTCTTGCCCAGTAGCTATGGGTGAAAACAGTCCTTCAAGAGAGAAAGCTTTCAGCTACTATGGCAGTGCAGTTCTTGGCGTTTCTCTCTGCTATTGAGAGAGAGAATGAACCTGCTTGGTGTGTTTAGGCAGTACTGAGAAGTCAGGCAAGCTATCCCATTCCTCTGCATTCATCTTCTATCTAAGCAAGCAGAAATGGAGGTTTTTACTTAATTGTTTTAAAGAACTAGTTTGAAAACTAGCTGACTCATGCTAGAGTTGATTCCCTGTCTTCTCCCTGTAACTGCTTACCTAACACAATATTGGCTGTGTTTCTTTCTTGGGGTTTTTTTTAGGTGTTTTTAGGATAAATGAACAATTTCTCTTTACTTTCTGAACTTTGAAGCAGCAACCTTTGAAAAGTATCTGACTGCTACACACAAACTTTCTGCACATGAATGCTATTAGTCTTGGCTTCTCCTTGTTCTCTCTCTGGCTATACTGTCAACATCTTTTCTTTTCTACAGCTTTGATTTAAGAAGTGATCCCACCAAAACAGCATCGGACGTGTTAGGAATTAGTAGTAATGTGAATATAACTTTCTATAACTTTAGAGCAGAAGTTGCTTTGTTCTGTCAGTAAAGAATAACACAGTGAAGTGGAATTAGATTATTTAAGCAGATTCCTAATTTATATTTTTGTATGTTTCTCTGCTACAGCTTTGCTCACATATAACTGCCCTGTTGGAACACAGTTAGCTGTTTTTGTAGCACAATTATAGTTCATCTTCAGCAGATCTCAGTAATGTTGAACACGAGCTAAATTCATCTTTGTACAAGAATGCTGACAGTTATGCCTCGCAACATTTTTCAGTGTAAGATGCCTGCCTTAACTGTTCTGTACTGCTGCTTTGCTGATCTTAACACCTAACACTAGATGGCAGTTTTGATTTTTATTTTCCTTTTTTTTTTTTCTCCTTCCTGCTGGTGATTTTCCATTTGTTCTCACAGAATCACCAAGGTTGGAAGAGATCTCTAAGATCATCCAGTCCAACCGCCCTCATATCACAGTATTTCCCCACTAAACCATGTCCCTCAGCACAACACACAGCAATACAGAACTCCTTTGGGTGTCTTCGTTGGTACAAAGAATGTGAATATATCACTGCTTTTCCCAGAAAGGTTCAGACTGAGTCTGAAATATAACTGATGCCATTCTGTAGTAATGATTTAAAATCACTTTTATCTCTAATATTATCTAGCTTTTAGCTGGAGTCCAGATGCCTAAATATATATTCTTCAGGTACACAAATAGAGCTTATTTCAATTATTCAATAATTTACAGCTATAATGTAGCAGTTAACATAAACATCAGCCTTCCACAGACGTTTAAAACTTTATTTTTTTTTAAAGCAGTTGTTCTATTTCTTTATTCTGTTTTTTATTTCAAAAAGCAGAGCCATATAATTATCCAATATGGAACACAATTGTTGTGAGTACCTCCTTGGTCTTGGTTCAGCAACATATAAAATACTTAATAAATCCAGTTTTAAATGGACTTAAGGTAAGCAAAGCTTTTCTTTGTTTGCTAGACTGAGCTGCCAGCATGAAACAAAATGAGATCTTCTAGTTCTGCAAAAGCAAAGCAGTTCCTAAATTTGCATATTCTCCCAGGGTTTTCTTTTAGCTTTTTTTATCCTAACAATTATTTTCCCCACAGATTAAACAATGCAAAAATAAAGCTTGGTAGGCAATTTTAATAAAACTTTGTTCTCTGTTAAAACATGTAACAAAGCTTAACCTGCCTAATGTTCTGCTACAAGCACCTTGCTCTCAACATAGTATTCATCTGAAAGAAGTTATGCGTTGAGTAGAAGAGCCAGCCTTTCCAAGCTAGATTGCTGAGTACCTTCTGGGATCCTACCACTAGCATGTATATCTGCACAGATCCAGCAGGGTCCAAATTTAACTTCTAGAAGGCTGTGGTTTTCAGTAATTGAAACAAAATGTCTACCTTTCTAGTTAAGAGTGGAGATCTATTCAATGAAGAGTCCTATTCCTCCTAAACAGGAGGGAGAATGACTAAAAAGATGGATAGGACAAGGGGAATGGTTTTAATCTGAGACAGAGGAGGTTTAGGTTAGATACTAGGAGGAAGTTTTTCACACAGAGGGTGGTGACACACTGGAACAGGTTGCCCAAGGAGGCTGTGGATGCCCCATCCCTGGAGGCATTCAAAGCCAGGCTGGATGTGGCTCTGGGCAGCCTGGTCTGGTGGTTGGCGGCCCTGCACGTAGCAGGGGGTTGAATCTGGATGATCTTTGTGGTCCTTTTCAACCCAGGCCATTCTATGATTCTATTCAACACTTACTGTAGCACAGAATGGTAAGTGCTAGCTTGGATGAAGTTTGAGATTTAAGATTGTCTAGCTTTCGATACACACTTATGCCTTTTTATTTTGGTGATGTTTAAAATAAATGCTAAGGTACATTGTACTAGCTCTGCAGGTATATCTTGTAAACAGGTACCAGAGCATATCCTCTTCTGAGCATTCAAGCTGAGCAAGCTGTTTGATCCACAGACCAATTTCTGCCCTTGGCAATCTCTGTGATGTGCAGAGGTTTGCAGAAACAAATAACTGCATGCATTTTGGCCCTTTATGCATGGTACACATTTTAGTAGCTTAGAGACCATAAATACTAGGCCTCAGCGGGATACTGTCTTATTTCTCAAAAGAGGGATGTTCAGCATAAGTCTAGCATCTGAATTCTGATTTTGTAATTAATACAATTAACATTTCATGTTCAGCACAGTGCCAAGCATTACAAGATACATAAAGACTGACGATGACAGAGAAAGGCTGACCTGCTGAGTCACTGGTCGGGTAACCTTCCTCTTGTTTCCAATTAGCATTGCTTCTAATGACTGAAAAAGCAGAATAAGGAGGTAGGAGTGTATACTGTCACCTGTCTTCCTTGTAACAACAGTGGCAGTGAGAGTGATTCTGAGGTGAACAGTTTATCTTGACTCTCTTGTATCTTCCTATTTTATTTCCAAACGCTGTCTCTGCTGGTGCTGTTAATGCTGCTGGTCTTTACAGAAATGCCATCAGTTCTGTTTTTAAATCTTTCAATATATCGAGTCAAACTGCATCTCTGGATCTAACATGTAACTTGCAAGCAGTCAGCACAGCAGACTCCCTACATTTGGGTGGTGCCAGCTCAGGTGCTGGTAGTGAAACCAAATCCCCAGCATACAGAACGCAGCCCAGTCTGAAAAGATTGCTGACTGGCAGAAAACCTTAAGTGCAGCGCTACAGCTAAGGAACATCAGCTAAAGGAGAAAAAGCTGGTAGGCCAAGGATATCAATTAAAATATTTAATAAGGCCAAAGTCAGCTGAAGTCAGGCGTGCATATGCAGCACAAAATTTAGCTTAGAGGGGATTTTGATAATTTGCTGCTGACAGTAACATTTGTTGAAGACCATTTGTACAGTAAAGCTAATGAAAATAGCAACCTTTTCCCTTCTGAGATGCTTGACCTTTCCTTCGTGTTCTACTTCCTTACACCAGAGGGTCTTCCAAACAGTCTCCAATAAAAATAGAGTCCCTTTGCATCACTCACCATCACATGGAAGTTCTACTCTATCAGATCCATAAGACCAATTATATTGGGGGTTTTCTTTCAACATACATTCTGTTTGAAGGTTTTGTCATTCAGCTTCAGCTCTGAAATACTTCCTTAGCATTCTGGAACGCAACACCATTCCTGAATGCATGTTTCTCCTGGAGAAACAGGGGATGGAACAATGACCTCTCCTATGGGAACAGGCTTACATACGTCACTGGTTAGGTATCTGTTTTAGCAGCTGTGAGGGTATGTAAGGAGCTACATAGCTAAAGATGCCCTATTAATCACCATGCATGCTAACAACTGTGGATTTGTATTTTAAGTGTGCCAGACTTCAGAAGACTAAAACATTCTACTCCTGGTTAAAAATGCCTTTTTTTTTTTTTTTTTTCTCCTCCTTTCAGTAAATATGTTTAAAAATGGAGTTAGCAGAAGGCACCTACTTGGTTACTGTACATTGCAATCTGTGTATCTTTCACTGCCTGAAAAACTAACCTTTGCATTCAGTTACACCCAGCAAATTGGCAGTTAGGGTTCCACTCCTCTGAGTGCAGCTCGCTGCAGCAGCTCCATAACCTGGTTGTGCAGGCAGTCGGAGGGGTTACCTGCACGTGCAGGAGTTCTCAGAAGTAGGACTTCCCTTTCTGACTTTCTGCTTATGCTACCATTAAAATAAAACTAAAACCAGTCTACACTATATTCTTTATCCTATGTAACGCTGAAGGTTTCAGAGGTTTGAAGTTACAACCTGGAAAGACTCCTAATTGAAAACTGGATGGTTATACGTCTGTCAGAATCACCCCACAGTGCTGGCGATGTACGGAAGGCACTCTGTGGCAGGGAGGTACCAGGTCAGGTATTTCAAACACTTGAAGTCTTGGCAGCTTGACTTCAAAAACATACATAAAACCTCCTTTGATGCTTCTTATTCTGGTTCGTGGCTCCATCCATAAAAAGCTCTATTTTCCCAACGCAGCGAAATTAAAAAACTTTCATGTGGACAGAAGGGCCGGCCCAACAAGAGGATGTTCATACAGATGCAGCTTCTAGTCTTTGTTACTAGTTGTCTCTGAAACACATGGAAAAAAATAACAATTAATTTAGGGTAAAGCTTGATATTCAAAATGTCCTACAGGAATTCAAGGTGTAAGTTCCCTGAAGTATCACAGCACAAAGGGGCATCTGCTTTTCTCCACGATCTGTAAGGATGTTCTGTCTGGACGTGAAGCAGCCACACACAGCTACCGGCTGAGCTTCCTCTTCTCCCACCCCATTCAGGCACAGCCTTCTAGGCTTCATTCATGTGAAATCCAGAGAGCCACTCAAAACCCTTAGAGTGCGTTCCCTCGTTCAGAGCTGAACCTCAACTACCTTTAAAGCACTGTTTATTTTGTCCTGCAATCAGCTCATATCTTTTCAGTCATATCCTCTCAGAGCCAAAGGCTTGGAATGCTTTGATCTCACAGTGTTCCAATGTTTCCATCCCCTTCAGCAATCTTGCTTCCCTGCCCAGAACCTTTAGTTCTTCAATATCCTTTCAAGATGGAAGAACTGCTTCCTTACATAACAGCATCCCAGATGTAAATGGTCACTGTCCCATTCTTAGTGGTTTGTTTTTCATGCTCACAGCTGTTTGCTGAGCAGTCTGCACTCGCACGCTCCTATCTGAGATGTACTACAGAGAAACAAGTGGGGCTGCTCTTCCTGTGTGCCTTGAAATACTGTTGAGAAAATACTACCAAAGTAAGCAAATGCAGGAAGTGTTTCAATCAAGCTGCAATCGTCACATGATAAAATCTCTTGGTCTTCATTAGAATGTCACTGGGTTGTTTTTTTTTTTGAGAAATTATCTTTCTATACCAGCCCCAGAAGCTGGCTTGTTAAACCTCTTGCAAAACCTTTCAGATGGTCTTTCTAGTCCTGTCCAGCAACACATGCACCCTGCTGGAACACAGAAATTTGTTCTTCCCATTTACCTCCCATCAAACCAAACTCTGTGTCCTCCCAGCACATCAGGAAGGACAACGGGTGTAGAGAGACTCGCTGGCCTGTCACAGGGCTCTATGGTTTAAAGGCCAGAGCAAACACGTAGCAGTGCTAGGAGAGCAAAGACTTATCGAGGTGTGAGGGGTTCATTGGGAAGCCATGAAAGGCAGTGGTGTAAGGACCGCCTGAAGCTGAACCCCAGGAACACCCAATAACTCAGAGACATTAGGAGAACGGTTACATGTACAAGTCATTAGGAGAGAGGGCCCATGCTGCCCCCCCAGCCTTTTCTGCATCCTGGCAATGCCACTGGGCAATGACTGCCTTCTGGGGCACATAGACATCCACACAACTGCTGCCTTATATGGTGAACTCCCAGCGAGTGTAGGATCCTCAGTGAGTGCTGAGGAAGAAGAAATACTTGCAGAAAGAATGTGATGACAGAAAAGTGAATATAATTCCTAAGTCTGCAGGAGGGACAGTCCTAGTCCTCTTCCCTCGCATAATTCCCTTAGCTGCTGTTATGATTCTCCAAAGGCAATTCATTTGCCCTGTCATTTCTGCTTCTCCCCACGCGACTGTGTTTGCTGTGCAACATGCCTTCATCCCAGTGCTACACTGCTGATTTCAGCTGATAATGAAGAAAAGTGGGTTGTTCATCACAGAATAGAATCACACAGCAGTGTTAAGGCATTAACCTGTAAAAGTGAGTGTGGCAAATACTAACGAGCAGTTATGATTTTAACTTTGGATTCTATTTTCACAGACTGCATGTTGCAGTCCAGCACTCTCCTCAGACAAGGATAACTTATCATAGTATCACAGAATGGTCTGGGTTGGAATGTATTCTGTAAAGATAGTTTATGAAAAAAAGCAGAATCACACTTAGCAAAAAGCAACAGTATTTCTTAACGTGAATAAAAATATTTATGACTGTCTTGTCATAAACTGCAAAAAGCAGAAGCTGTATCCAGGGACAGGGACAAGAAGATGTGCACACTAGGGACAGCACAGCTTCTGCCTCCTGAGCAATAACCCATGCAGTCCTTCTCTCCTCTGTCAACATACCTATCTCTGTCGCTGCTGCGCCATCCACTTCTCCTGTTTCCTCTTCTTTTGTTTCAGGCCCTCCACTTACTATCTGACTGAGCAGCTCAGTTTCCACCTGTTCTCCCGTCTCACCTGGGAACGGTAATGATGGAGATCAAATTAGGATCCTCTGTAACAGCACTGCGTGCCCAGCTCCTTCCTGATTTTGCTTTGGCAGCCCTCCAGCTCCCCTCACAGGGGCACTGCACAGAGGTACAGGGCTCAGTGGGTCAGCAAGGAGCAACCAAGATACTCCCCATTGCTTTCTGTCATCCAGTCACATGCCCATAAAATCCCCCCCATGCTTTCACTAATTCCCCATGGCACTCTCTTGATTAAACATAGTAAGTACCAGCTCTGCTCAAACCACTTTTTTCCAAGTTTGGGGTTTTATTTTAGGTATGCAGAGTTTTATTTGCAATGGGAACAAAACAGTAATGTGCCGTCCAGCCTGCAGCAGGGAAGCTGCTACATAATTCATCTTTACTCACGCAGCTACTAAAGAAGAAAAGGAAACAAAACAAGTCCTAAGTATCTTATACACCAGGGTGTAAAAATGGAAAGGCAGTCACACACTTCATGGAGATAAAACACAAGTTAACATGCCATCATTCCACATTATTTCTAGTTTGATCAAATAAAAGCAAAACTCAATTTCTTGCCCTGCAAGCAGCATGAGTTGCTTGGTGGCCAAAGTCCTGCGACTGATGTCCAGGCAAACATTTAGCTCCAGGTGTCTGTGTTCAGGAGGTCCCACTGCATCGCTCAGGTGGTGCTGTGCTGCCTCCAGTGCTGCACCATGAGGCTTGGAAATGGTCATTAATGAAATTGGAGTTTTCAGCTGGGTGAAACTCCATTTTATACAAGTGGGCATCCCATCATTTACTTCTTACATAAAATGAGACCTTATTCCAAATGACAGATCTCCATTTTATGTAGAAGAAAACCTCAAAGCTCTTTTACAAAGAGACACAGTGGAAGACAAGTCAACGCTCATGCTCAGCTACTGGAATGCAGTCAAATTTATGCAGCCAGCTCGTGCACAGCAAAGCTCCACAGTTAAGAAGCAGGACATGCAATTGGGCTCCCCATAAATCAGTCCATCTGCATTTTGCGCTTCTTCAGGGTGGATGTGGAGTGAGGAAGTCTACAAATAACACATTTCTCTGCAGGGAAATACTTCTGGTGTGCTCCATCTGCTTATTCTCAGAAGAGCTGCTCCCGGAGGAAGTATCTAATTCCTTACTGGGCTGTTTTGTACCATTTAGGAGAAAGTTGATTTCTCCTGTGAAGTGTTCACCTTCTACAGACAGACATATGTTCTCAGGGCACCAACCCAAAGAGCACAGCCTGCAGCCTCAGGCCTACTTCCCAAGCTGGCAAGCCCCAGGGATCTTTGGGGAGCCCACTCCTGGGGTCCTCCACCTCTGTCTCCATTATGATTATTTGGTCACCAGGCCTCCAAAATGGTACATGCCAGGGGCACATCTAAGAGCTGCTTCTTCCTCTACAGCCTAGTCATCTACCCTCCAACTTCATGTGATTAGGGACAGTTGCTTTATGATTAATAAAGGTAACCATGTATTAGAGCTTTTGGTCTCGGCAGATAGGAAGCATTGTGACTGAGATGCACAGAAACACAGCCTCTAAATGAGGGGTATGGTTCTCACCAAGAACACAAAGGGTATGAAATGAAATAGCAGAGCTAACGACTGATTTATTACAGCTTGCATTTGTGAGCCTGAGGCTTCCCCAGCCACATCCTTATGTTCTCTGCATTGGACAGACCCCGTGGCCAAAATTCTGGCTCCAGAACTTCTCTAGTGACTCTCATTAAACTCAAAAGGACCCCCTGACAAGTCTCTGGAGACAGCATTTGGTCTCCTGAGTTTACAAAAGCACAAATATTACCCTCAATGAAGTGGTCCTCTTCAGCAATATGCACATTCTTGATGGTTTCCACCACAACGCTGTCAGTGCCTTCCACCAGCGCACTGTCACCTGCCGGTCGTGGTGCTGGTGGCCCACCACCGTCCCTCAGTGCTGGCGGTGAAATCCCACTGCTTTCCTCTCGCCACACAGATGGCAGCTCCGAGCTCTGCTCCGGCGCTACACGCGGCGGCTCAGTACCCTCCGGCTCCTCTCTCTCAGGGATCAAGTCAATCTTTGGCTCCAAGGCGGGAGTCACGGCTGTGGCCTCTTCCCCTGGCAGGTGGTCGCCCAATTTCAGCTCCTCAGAGGCCAGGCTCACACCCTCCACTGCATCCAGCTGTGTTTGGTCAGCTACGGTTTGGTAATCATCAGCAATCGGGGAGTTCTCCCCCGATGATGCTATCAGTCGTGGCAAAGGAAAGAAAGAGAAAACAGATAATTCAGTGGGCATTTCAGTTAGGTGAGATGGGCCCAGCTGGGCCTGCACCTCACAAGCACTGCCTGTCACAGCTCACACCTGGCTACCAACAGTACTCACACACTCACACGTAACCCAGACAGGCTGTGGACTCTCCTTCTCTGGAGATGCTCAAAACCCACCAGAACACCTACCTACAGTAGGGGTTGGACTAGGTGAGCACCAGAGGTTCCTTCTAACCCTTAGGACTCAGTGTTTCTGTGAAACACAATACAATTTTACATGAAAAGAGTTGACATTTCACCTTAAGGATCTGAAGCGTGCAGCAGTTTTGCCAGATGATGGGCTGCTGTTCCAGGAAGCAACCTTTCATGCCCAAAGCAAGCACAAGGTCAACATGCTGAGCATTAATCGCTGCCCCATGAACATCTGCTGGTGCCTACAGGTGGGCTACACAGAAAACTCTGGAAATACCCTTCTCACTCAAAGCGAGACCACGGCTATTTCTTAAAACAAACATCAGTGTTGGTTTTTTCTTTAATTTCTTTTTTGTTCCGTTGTTAAATACTAAACTACCACTGACATGACTTTGTACAGCAAGCCATTCAATGACAGGAATACTCACCTAAATAAAACTTCCTCTTCTTTCACATCTCGTCAACTTAATTGAAGCAACAGGCCTTCTTGACAGGCAAAACTTATGCACAAAGAAATGCCAAAATTGCTCTGACAGGTATTCAGTGATAAATGCCGAAGACTCAGAATGAGCTCTACCTACCTATCAGGTCAGTTTAATCACTTTCTAATTAAATTCAATTTGATGAGAACTTGAGCTTAACCTTCTCAAAAGGAATGTCAGGACTGAAAGACTGGGAGGTCATGCACAAAATTTGTTATGTAATAATCATGAGATCTGTCTGAATTGCATTTTCTGGGGAAATTATTACTATAGTGTCAAAGCTTGTGAGCAGAACTGCATGGCAATTTGTACACACATGGATCAGCAATGAAAATAAATGTAATACATCTCACTTTTGAATAGGCTGCTGCAATACTGCTGCTTTTTAGATAAACTCACAGCTCTTTTGAGGCACCCAAGCAAAGCAGCTCCCCAGCAAGCACCACCAAGTCAGTGTCTGCAAGCACAGGGAAGGGCAGCTGAACCGGGAAGGGGGCAGGACCAGGAGATACGAGGTGTACAGAAAGCAACTTGGACTATGGGACATGTAAAATCTTGTTTGTCCTGGGAACTGTAAAACCACCTGAGGAGAGGCTAAGCCCCCACCAAAAAAACATGACAAGGAGCCAGGCCTCATGCTGAGCAGTGGCCAGCAGACATCTCAGGTGCTTTGCTCTCTCAGCTGCCTCCTGAGCTCAGCAGAGGACCAGAGGAGACCATGGGGACACCCAGAGGAGGACCTCTTCAGCCCACTCAGCTCCTGTGGTGACAGTCAAAGTGGGGCAGGCACCGAGCTGCTTTGTGGTCCTAGTCCTCCTCACAGTGCCTCACTGGCACTGTAATTAATCTGTGTGCCAGCTGGATGTCAGCAAGGCTTAGAGCCACGTGGTGAAACCCCAGGTCTTCAATGCATCAGTTATAAGGTATTGCCACGAGCTGTATTATGGCTTGCTTATAACATTGCATTGGGATTATACATGTTACAGCATGAGCAGGCAATAGCTAAATCTGTCAGCTTAACTTCTCTGTGTGATTTTTTCCACCTCATGATGCTTGAAAAACAAAATCTGACAATTCTAAGAATTTGAGGCCGTGACTTAAAGAAGACAGCACACCGGGTTGTAACACCCCTTAAAGGCCTGAGAAGCACACACACGCAGTGAAAGGCCACTTACACATAGATCTGCAGCTGTACAGAGGTGCAGTTACAGCACATCAACCATGTGAGACAGCCCACACTGCACCAATGTAGCAACAGAACAAGGGGAAATGGTTTTAAGCTGGAAGAGATTTAGACTAGATACTAGGAAGAAATTCTTTACTGTGAGGGTGGTGAGATGCTGGAACAGGTTGCCCAGCGAGATGGTGAATGTCCCTTCTCAGGAGGCACTCAAGGCCAGGCTGAAGGGGGCTGAGAGCAACCTGCTCGAGAAGGAGGTGTCCCTGCCTGTAGCAGGGAGTTGGAACTAGGTAATCTTACAGGTTCCTTCCAACCCAAACTGTTCTATGACTCTATGACTGATCCAAGGGGATCTGTGACTGTGTGTGTGTCCATCCACTGCACAAATTTCAGCAGCTTCTAGGGTTGAGTAACACTCAGTGAAAGTTACACACCTCCAAGAAGTCTCACTGCAGCCACAAAGCACACAGTGCGCTAATAGAACAGATTTGATTTTTTCCTGCATTGTTTTTTATCCCTTTAGACACTTCTCATGCCTTCACCTTGCTTAGCATCAGGTGAATGGGGAGCACTGAAAACCTAAAGGGCAGAAATAGTTGAGCATGAGCCACAAAAATGAGCATGTTATACAGAGCTTTGAATTGGTACTACCAGTAACAGCAACACAACTCTAAAAAATTAGTACTGGGATTCTGGATGAACACCAGGCCTCTAATTATATGAATTGGATTATAAAATCCTCTCATGCAACGAGACATTTGCACTGCTGGAAAGCCTTGAACCATTCCTCTGCTCTCAACTGAGATGCAAAGAATTCTCTAATACGGAAAAAACAAACCCTCCTGGTAATCTGTTCAATACCTTCATCCTCAAGAATGAAAATCACGTGGCAGCCAGCATTCCTACAATGCCTTATTGTTTCCTTTAGTTTATCGTCTATAATTTCTGATTTGGCCATCATTTACAATTTTTCTTTTCCCTGCCACAGACAATTTCAGCAAATCGCGCATTGAATTTAAGCAGACCATGGTTACAATGCTGTGACTTTTCTTTTTCCTTTTCAAAAGAGCCTCAAGACTCTGTGAGCTACAAATCCATAGAAGGAAATGATATTTTTTTTTTCTGTTAACAGCACACTTAGAGGCATCTATTTCAAATTCTCCTCTCCTATTCAACTCAGTTAGAAAACAACCAACACATCTGGCTGGTAAGAGCCCAACTGGCAGGTGACCACAACACAGGTAGGACACGAGGAGTATTCTGCCCATCTCTGCAGTGGGTCTGCTCCGTGCGCTGCCTTCATAGCAGCACATTCAGCCTCCCCTCACACAACCCACAGCACCTCAGCGATCACAACAAGCTGTAGCATTCCAGGACAAGAACTAAAGAATAAATTGCAGGTGGAAAACTTGGGTGCCGCAGCCGGAATATGGCAGCAGGGAGGTATTTAGAACTGCAGGATAGAGGAAAGAAATGCAGTAAGTTGAAAAGCGAGCAGGTTTTCCCATAGCATTGCTTCGGGATGCAGGTTTTGGAGAGCTCAAGGTTGTTACCTGCAAGTTGCTGTAAAAACGGTTCCCAAACTTTGTTGGGGAAAAAATAAAAAGGGGAAACACTGCATTCGCAAGATATTATGGAATCTTTGCAAGGCGTTACCTGAGAGGCTGCCGGCTCCCAGCAGTGTGCACTCCAAGGAGCCGAGAGCCCCTCAGGTTTTCCCCAGCCCCTACGGGGCACGGGGAGCACCCGGCACGGCCGCCCACCCACCCCCCGGCCCCGCTCACCCCTCGTCGGCGCCCCGCTGCTGCTGGGGGGCTCCTGGGGGCGGCTGCGGGCGCTGCTGGAGCAGCCCATGGCTCGGCAGCTCCGAGGGAAGGCAGCGGGCGGGGCCGGGGGCGGGAGGGCGAGGAGGGGCTGGGTTCCCGCTGTGCGATCTCTCGAGGGAGCACGAGAGGTTTTAACACGGGGGTGTCCGCTCTTTAGTTCTTCTGAAGTACAGGGAGGAGACCCCACAGCCCCGGGCAACCTGTGCCAGTGCTCCGGCACCGCACAGCACCGCAGTGCTGCCTGGTGCTCAGAAGGAGCCCCTGTGCCCACGGCCTCTTGTCCTGGCGCTGGATCCCACAGAACTGAACCTGAGACTGCAGTTACAGGAGTGAGAATCACAGCACAGCCCACATAGGAAGGGACCTCGAAAGATCATCAGGTTCAGACTTCGTGGGAAAAAGGAGTCTGGATGAGATTACCTGGCGCTCTGTTCAACTGTACCTTCAAATCCTCTTGTGATGGGCATCTGATCAAGTCCATGGGGTGGTTGTTCCAGTGATTCGTAGAATCATAGAATTATTAAAGTTGGAAAAGACCCCAAAGATCATCTAATCCAACCTCCAAACCATTTCCACCATGCCCACTCACCACGTCCCTCAGTGCCACCTCCACACAGTTCTTGGGCACCTTCAGGGACAGCAATTCCTCCATCTCCCTGGGCAGCCTATGCCCATCCCTTACCATCTTCCTGTGAATAATTTTTTCCTAATAACCAACATGAATCACCCCTGGTGCAACTTCAAGCTACTACCTCTAGTCCTATCACTGTTACCTGGGAGAAGAGGCCAAGCCCCGTCTCGCCACAGCCTTCTTTCAAGCTGTTGTAGAGGACAATAAGGTCTCCCCTGAGCCTCCTCTTCTCCAGACTGACCAATCCCAAGTCCTCAGTTGCTCACTCTAAGACTTGTGCTCCAGACCCCTCACAGCTTCTCTGTCTTTCTTTGGACATGCTTCAGGGCCTCCATGTCTTTCTCATAGCAAGAGGCCCAAAGCTGAACACAGCACTCAAGGTGCAGCCTCACCAGTGCCGAGGGACAGTCACCTCCCTGCTCCTACTGGCTGCACTATTTCTGATTCATTGCCCTCACAGCAACCTGATCTAGCTGTAGGTGTCCCTGTTCACTGCAGAGGAGTTGCACTAGATGACCTTTAAAAATTCCTTCCAACTCAAAGCAATTCTATGTTTCTATGATAAAAAATTCCTTTTGTAGTTACTGTTCACAAGAGCAGTTCAGTTCTGACTGCTGTCTGCACTTATGCACTTATCCTCCATCTCCATGTGTCTGTGTGCACACACATGGGGCAATGGCTCAGCCTGCCAACCCAAAGGCATTTCTTGGTGGCAGAGCCCTTTGGGGTCGGTAGCCACTTGTAACATCCTTGCCATCAGCCTTACGGGTAAAACAAAGCTAATAGGATTTTAATATTTGCATACAGGCAATTCAGCTGGAGTCCACAGAGCTTAGTATTTTTGTAGAGAAAGGATGAAAAATGTCATATACTTGCTTGCATAAGCAAGTCCAGTGTAAAGCGTCATTTCTTAGAGTAGGTGGCCAAGCCACCATAATAGACTCATTATGTATGGGCACTGAGAAAAAGAAAGATGGAAGCTACATTCTGCTCCTTTTCCTTCTTGAGAAGTTTTGTCCCTGCTTCTCTCCATTCCTCAACCAAAGGTAAGTGGTGTAGAACACACCTGCCATCCATCTTACTGAAACTGTGAAGAAATGAATTCCAGATTACCTGGGCCAGAGAGAGAGGACACGTGTGGGTGTGCATCAGAGTGCTTGCTGAGAGGGACAGGGCTGCTTCCGCACTTTGTGTTCTCTGAACAGACCCTGGGTAGAGCACAGAAACAGTCCTGGGATTAGGAATGGCTTGGACCGTTTGGCAGCAGCTCCTGAAATCACTAAAGGACAAGCTGGTGCTCTTTCTCCCTTTGTCCCAAGTAATGGGAAAGTTCCACTTTTTCAGCAGGAAGATGGGATGTGAGGGCCAGAGGCGGAGGCAGGCAAGACAGGGTTGCAGCTCAGCATCTGGCTCCTCTGGGATGAGGCAAACATGGTGAACCAGCTCTGGGATACATGGAGGCAGGAGCTCCAGTGACACAGCACTTGAGGGGATCTGTGCCACCGCCACTTACTGCCTCAGGCCTGGACAATACGTGCCCTCTGCAGATCAGCCAACACGAGCACATCTTGCTGCTCTGTGCCATAGTTTGGCTGGATAAGACCCTGAGCAACCTGATCTAGCTGAGGAGGCCCCTGTTTTGTGCAGGGGAGTTGGAGCAGACGGCCTCCAGAAGTCCCTTCCAACTCCCAGGATTCCATGATTGTACGATGGCAGGTGTGCTGCTCATTTTTGACTGGCATTACTCAAGACATCACTGTGCAAACAAGAAGTGGTGCACACCCCCAAGCAAGCCCCACAGAGGCAAGACAGGGCTGGGGCTGGTGCCAGATAGGCTCAATCTTCTGATTTCTACTTTATATACGGCACACAGCTATATTAGCATGCTTATCTGTTGGTCTAAGTGGCAGGGATGCGTACCTGCTAGTGAAATAGAAAGGCGGAGAGCTTTGGAAGTAGGAGTCTCAGGAATAGAGAGACAGAAATATGGAACAGAAAAGAATACAAGGTTCCTGGGTGTGGTGGGTGGTTGGAGAAGTTGAAGGCAGGAAGGGGAGATGGCATGGGAGCATGGGTTACCGCAGCAGCAGCAACAAGCTATGCTTGTATTTGTTCTGAGCCCCAAGTGACCCAGCAGCTGCAGCACTGTGCTGGCAGATGGAAGTCCTTCACTACCTTCCCCCAGCCAGGGCAACTCCCCACAGCCTTCCTGCCACCTCCAACTTGAGCCGCCGTGCTTTGTCCCTAAATGAAGGCAGTGCCCAAGTAGCTAAAAAAATAACCTTTGGCGATATGCAAACTAAACAATCACCTCGAATAACTTATTTTTACAAAGGAAAATAATGTGTTTTATTCAGAAATACATATCAGGGAATTAAAATAAAATGTAAGCCGTGAGTGTTCAGTGACAACTATAGCTCCAGAGGTAAAGCAACAAATACCTATATATTGTCTTACTCGAGTAGAAAGACGCTGCTAAAAGCAATCTTTGCAAAGATTGACAACAAGGTCCTGGCGATTTTTAACTTCTCCAGGCCAGTGCTTCATGATCAGACTTGTGTCACTCATTCTGGAGCTCACAGCTGTTCACAATTTTGAGTATTTTAGACAAGATTCCTACTGCAACTGTAAATCGATGTCTATCTGTTGATCCCTGAAACAACACAGACACATCCTGGGACTTAGTAAATTACTGTAGACTTTTCAAAACAACATATTAATAATGAGATTTCTTTTTTAAACCATCTCCTTTTCTCAACTCTTTGGCTATTCTTTCCCAGAAGAACAGTGCTGAGCAGGCAATAAGATATTCTAGATAGTTACTGTGGCAGACAATTCAAGCCAGATTTTCCATGGCTAGAGATTTGTGTAGCTCCACTTGCATCTGCTCTGTGATGGTCACTTACACAGTGCAGAAAGCTGCCTCCTAAAACACAACTCTTTATTTTGCCTGGGAAGGCAATGGCTGAGAATCTAAAGATCTTCTTATCAGACTACCTTCTGTTTTTAGAAATCTGCATATTTGGATTTCTGCACAATTATGCCCTTAGAAAAGTAAATACTTTGTTTTAGTGGCACCCTTTTTAAGATTGCTATATGCTTATCTATTTATGTATGCATGTGTATATATATGTCTGCATATATACACTTGTGCATACACTCCTTAGCATCCTTTCACAGACCAAAAGCATAACCAAGGTGTATAGCTATCCAGAAGTTCACGATAGTATTTAACCTCAAGATTTTCCCTGTAGTCTAATAGGTAACCTTTCTTTGCTCAGCCCATTTTCCTCTACAGCTCCTTTCCTTCCTCCCGTCCATTCTCACAGTGAAGTCAATGGAAGGATGTCTGAGCAGAGATTTGAATACTGACTCCACAGACCTCTACATTACTTGGATTCCAAATTCCCAGCGGTCCGAAATGAAGATCTGTACGTATTTGGCTGACAATGAAGGGGATAGTTCAAGTGCATGACCCTGTGAAAATTGAATGAACATGTTTGTATTTGCTATAATATGTGATTTTGATCAGACAACATAGTCTGTCACTTTTAATAGCCCTGATGAGTGCAAAAGAATGCAGGTGTTCACACAAAGTTGTTGTATAATTGTGCAGAGATTTTGATAGGGCTAAAAATGTAGGAGAGAACAGAACTATATTTCCAGACTATACCTTTGCATATTTTGCATTATTATTCAGTTGATGACACGCTGCATACAAGAGCATACAGAATTACTGCTCTGACCTTCACTTTACTGTCATAGGATTATATGTAACGTTCAGAAAAGCAGGGCAACTACTCGACTAGAAAGTTGATGGTATGATTATCACTGCATTGGAGGAGGCAGTGTCTCATGTTCTACAATATGGGGAACAAGTTGCTTTGGGATCTCTGTGCACAAACGCATGTGCCTGTGCTGCACAGACAGGTCTGCCTCCACACAGTGTATCCAGTACTTACTGACTGCAGCTCAGCTGTCGCAAGAGACCTCATCCATGACCTCAGGCAGCTCCATCTGTGAAGGAGAACTTGTTAATTTGCCTGTTTCCTCAAGGATCTGTACACTTTGCTACCATTGCTTGCACTGCAGTGTTGTGATATGCCAGTGTCAGGGGCATACAACCTCAGTAGGTCCCTGCCTCACTCTTTTGCCTCCCTCCCCCCTGGTGCTCCTCCCACCCTCAGCAGGGCATCCCATCACTGGTGTCAACACCATTGTGCAACAGCATTATGGAATGATTACTGGTTTCAGCCAAAAACCTGAAATCTGAAAAAAAGAAAGGAAGTTCAGGGTGGGACCTCCTTTTGCTGCCATCTCTACTGAAATTGATGCATCATGAAGTTATGACTCCAGGTAAAATACAGCAATGACTCACGACAGTAATTTGTGATCACAAGTCCAGAATCAAAGAAAATGACAGGTTGCCCAAGGAGGTTGTGGATGCCCCATCTCTGGAGGCATTCAAGGCCAGGCTGGATGTGGCTCTGGGCAGCCTGGTCTGGTGGTTGGTGACCCTGCCTGTGGCAGAGGGTTTGAAACCAGATGATCTTTGAGGTCCTTTTCAACTCAGGCTATTCTATGATTCTATGAAAATGAGGTTTTGTTATGCTCATGCATAGTTTTCTTCTTTTAGATTACTCAGAATTGCATTTGTTGCATTTTCCTCCAGGAAATGATAAAGGCACTCTCCAGTTTTTTAGATAGGTCAATGTGACTGTCCTCCATCTTCCACACTGCTCATTTATGTCTCCAAATACCTTCACCTGGTGTTTTCTTACACAGTCCCACTATATGTGAAGATGAAGTTGGTGAGACACCTTGAGGACCATTGCCATCAGAGTACTGTAAATGCCCATCTGCTCAAGCTGCTGACATTTAGTGAAAGAGTGAGCGTACAATAAAGAACTTTCAAGATGTCAAAGCCTTTCCTTACTTTTCATGTTGCCTTCACCTGACTTGAAACAGCCCTGTGGATTTATAAAGGACATTCTATGGACCACAGACTCTCAGGAGGTGCCTTTGCAACTACACAAGGGAGATTTGGGGTGTGAGGCACAATTGGAAGCACCTGTTTCTGCTCGTGTTTCCCCACACATACAGATTTCTTCAAAGTCCCTTCTAACCTAAGCCGTTCTATGATTCTACATTTAAGGCCACAATTTGGGTCCCAATGACTGAAGTCTCTGACGGAAAGTTATTCCAGAAAGGCATTTTTTTGTTTGTTCATTTGCTTTCTTTCAAAATGTGACACAGTTTTACAAGTTCTTAAGTATTACATTTTCTCCTAATTTGATCTCAGGATGCAAAGGGCACATTTGCAGACAGCTCCCTCTCCAGGAGATGGAGGGCTTCCACATTTAGATAACATAACACGGGTGACAGCAAGATAACATAAGCCATGGGTGCCCGACCTTTTGGCTTGCCCAAGCAAGTCATTACTTTTCTATTTGCTAACCCTTTTACAACTGTATAGGCAGGTTTAGATGAGAACGTTTTGAAATTATTTCTAAGTATGAAATATACATGTGTTTCAGATTGTATCCTAACACACTCAACTTATTATTTTCACATGAAAAGAAAACGCGGCAGCTAAATACACGATTCAGTGAACTTACAAATTCTGAAACAAAGTAAATGTAGGTTATAGTGCGAGTCCTTTGGAAACCTGCCTTGAGCACGGTTGGATTAGCGCACTGATACCCGTTTGTTTGGGTGATTATTACTTGCATATCGCCCCCGCGTGGTTCAGCTGGGCAGCGTGCCACTGAGAAGGCGGTTCTTGAAGAATTACTTGGTGAGATGTGTAGGCTTACACCAGAAAAAAATCAGTGCCGAGGTAGCTATGCCAGTAGAAAGGTGCATCAACGTATTACTACAAATGATTTCAATTTGTTAATTAAGATAAGCTACATTAACAGTAACTCAATGCAGCTTGTTTTCCCTTTGCTTTTTAGTTAGTTATTACATAAGGCATATTGGTAAAAGCATCAAACTTCTTGAACTCAGCAAATACAATGTTCTCCCATGCTAATGCAAACTTAGGCAAACATAGAAAAGATTTCATGCTAGTTTTGTCATTTCATCCATCATAAAGTGTATATGTTGGGGTTCATATAATAGAATCACAGAATGGCTTGGGTTAGAAGGGACCTCAAAGATTATCTAGTTCCAACCCACTGGCAGGGCTGCCCCCCACAGCTCAGGCTGCCCAGGGCCCCATCCAGCCTGGCCTTGAGTGTCCCCAGGGATGGGACACCCACAACTTTCTGGGCTGCCTGTGCGAGGGCCTCACCACAGTGTTGCACACGTTCCAGTACATCTTATGAGTGTGAAGTTTCAACAGCAGAATCATAGAATGATAGAATTATTGGAGTTGGAAGGGACCTCTGAAGGCTGTCTAGTCCAACTCCCCTGCAATGAGCGGGGACATGCACAGTTAGATCAGGTTGCACAGGGCTTTATTCAACCACACCTTGAAAGTCCCCAAGAACGGGGCATCAACCACATCTCTGGGCAACCTGTTTCAGTGCCTCACCACCCTCACTGTGAAATATCTTTTCCTTATATCTAACCTAAATCTACCTTCTTTGAGTTTGAAGCCATTTCCCCTCGTTCTATCACCACAGACCCTGGTAAAGAGTCTTTCCCCTTCTTCCCTTTAGATATTGGAAGGTCTCTATCAGGTCACTTTGCAGTCTTCCCCAGGCTGAACAGCCCCAGCTCTCTCAGTCTGTCCTCATAGGAGAGGTGTTCCACCTCCTGGATCATTTTTGTGGCCCTCCTCTGGACACACTCCAACAGGCCTCTCTCTCTCCTGTACTGAGGACTCCCCATCTGAACACAGTACTCCAGGTGAGCCCTCACCAGAGCAGAGGGGCAGGACCACTTCCTTTGTCCTGCTGGCCACGCGCCTTTGGATGCAGCCCAGGATACGGTTGGCTTTCTGGACTGTGTGGGCACATTGCCGCCTCATGTCCAGCTTGCCATCCACCCCTCTAGGGACAGAGACAGCACTGTGCCTATTCACGCAGCCCCATGGAGAAAGCAGGACTGGAGGAACCTTTGCCTCGAACAAGAAGCCAGCTTTACGAGACGTGCCCAAATCCAAACCCGCCCACACGAGCAGTATCTGTCCCAGAGCTGCCCGCACGCAGTAGCACACGTACAATCGTAATTCAGCACGCGGCCAGGGGCTGCATTTCACCAGCCCCAACCTCACAAGGAAGGGAGGCAGCTGGGGCTCGGCTCCGCAAGGGGCTTCCTGGATTGGTGCTTAAAGTCTCCCGTCGGGCTACGAAGAGGCAAAATCGCCCTGTGAAACGCAGCGCACTGCAGGCAGGGGAGACGAGCAGAGACAGCGCCAACGGCCGCACGCCCACAACCCCACCCTACTAACGGCGACCGTGCGCAGCAGCAGGAAGGTGCGGGGAAGCTCTCGCGAGAGGCGGCGCGGAGACGTTCTCGCGAGAGGTGCAGCGGGGATAGGCGGTGCCCGCCGGGCGCTCGCTCCTTTCTGGCGGCCCGGCCATATTGGTGGCGCGTGTCCGGTGAGTGGGGCTCGGCCGGGCGGCCCGAGGAGCCGCTCTTGGGCGCTAACCCGACCCCCTGCTGCTCCTGTCTTCCAGGTACCGCCCGACTTAACTGCAGGCAGCGACGATGGTGGCCGCAAAGAAGACGGTGAGTGGGAGCGGGCCGCATGTGGCCTCACGTGGCGGCGGCCCGGCCTCCGCCGACGGCGGGCGCTGCGCGCTGCGGTGCGGCCGTGGTGCCGGGGCGCTCCGCCGGGCCTGAGGTAGGGAGGAGCGGCCCCGCGCGCGGTGTGAGGCGGGGTGGCGGGGGGAGCTGCGCGCAGCTTGAGGCGCCCGAAGTGGTCCTTGGGCCCGTAGCTCTGAGCACAGTAGCGCGGCTCCTCGTTGCCGGCTTCTCTGTACTCGGTTCTCTCCTGTGCAGCATCCTGGTTGCTCCTGGGTTCCCTGCCCCAGCCGGAGGCAAGGGAGGCTGCAGCTGTGTTCATAGCGTGGTTAAAGGGCCGCAGCGCTCGGGTTTTGTGTTTCCTGATAACTTTTAGTTTTCAGTCTTAAAGCTGCTGCAGAAAGTATGAGGTTCGCTTGAGATGGCGGTGTTCGTTATTCCTTATTGGCTGTCACGCACCTATTGGAGGGGCTGCACCCGCTGCGTGTGGTTATTTGTTTCTGTCAACCAGAGGAACGCCTATTAGTGCATGCCCTGCAAAGTGCCAAACTAGGAATGCGGTCAGGTTTGTGGGGTAGAGGTAGTTTATATTTGAACATGACTGGCTGAGTTTTATAAAGGTAAAATAAGAACTCCATGATGTGACTGGGTAACATAGTTGGCAGTGGCAATGCTTTTAATTACAAAGTAGAATCACAGAATCGCAAGGTTGGAAAGGACCTACAAGACCATCTAGTGCAACCATCCACCCGCTACCAGGTGTAATGTAGTAATTACTACATTACCAAAGTAATGGATAAAAGGTATTTTGTAAAGTTGGCAAACAGTACCAGCATCTTGCTTACCTACAAGCTTTCGTATAACCATATGGCGTGCTGGCTTTTTTATTCTGCCTTGCAAATAACTGGGACAAGATTGTGTGTGATTGGAGTTTCTTCACCTTACATTCTCTGTCACCTTGTGAAAGGTAAAATAACATGTAATGAAACTCTTATTTTTGCAGAAAAAGTCCCTGGAGTCCATAAACTCCAGGCTTCAGCTGGTGATGAAAAGCGGTAAATATGTGCTAGGATACAAACAGACTCTGAAGATGATTCGTCAAGGCAAAGCCAAGTTGGTCATCCTAGCCAACAACTGTCCTGCTTTGAGGTAAGCAGGTGTACGAAAAAAAATTGTTAAAAACTAAGGCAGGTGCTTTGTAGAACTGCAGATGTGATTCATGCAAGCTGGTAATGCAGAGTAGTTTGTACACATACTCCATAGTGCTGTGAAATAAACATGATGAGTTGTTTGGTGTATACAGATTGTAGGTCTGGATGTGTTACAGTGCTTTCCAGCTGTTTTATAGCTTTCTCATACAAGGAGTTTGCCTTGCAGAAGGTTCTGTAAGCTTTTTCACACTGTGAAATCAGCATTTCATACCTGGTCTGGTGGGAACTGTCCCTGCACACGGTGGGGTTGGAGCTAAGTGATCTTCATGGTCCCTTCCAACCTAAACCATTGTGTGAAAGTGTAGTAAGACTCAATTCCTGATTTATCGAAGTTGGTACTGGAAAATAATTTTACAAGTAGGAAAAACTAGTAATTGATGTCAATTTAAAATGCTTGAAGCATAGAACTGCTTGTAGAAATGTTTGAAGCTGTTCTAGGAGAATGAAGTCTTCAGTAATCTTCATCTCCTGACACAGTCCTTACTGAACTTCTGGTCCCCTTCTGTCAGCAGTGAGTATCAACAGATTAAAGGAACTGCAGATACAGGAAAAAGAACCAACATAGATACTTGAGAAATGGGGAGACTGTTTTATTCTTGGCAGGAAATAAATGTGTTTTTCTAGGCAGAAAGATTCTGAATTGAAGTACAATTGGGAATTCAAGCTGCTTTTGTTGTACAGTCAATCAAATTGTTTGTCAGTACTTTAATACCCAGTTTTTGAATCTTAGAAAATCGGAGATTGAATACTACGCCATGCTTGCAAAGACTGGTGTCCATCATTACAGTGGCAACAACATCGAATTGGGCACAGCATGTGGAAAATACTACAGAGTGTGCACGCTGGCTATTATTGACCCAGGTACGTGTCTCCTGCCATATAATGAACAAATTGGGTATGTAGCAGTGGTTCTTGCATTCACCTGTGAGTAGCAGTGCTTAGCAAGTAAGGTGCAGATGTACGGTTATATTTTGTTGGTCTCCTTTGGCTTAAACTAGTGCCAAGATCTGTTCTTACTTTGTTAGTCCAAGAATCGGTTTCTTACATTTGCACACAGCTCCTTTTCCTGTTCAGCTTTGTTAATGTAGGATCTTGGTAAAACAAACGGCTGGATTGTGAGTTGTCTTATATCTACAGAAGGAATAAGCTATATGCAGATGGATACTAATCCAGTGCCAGAGTTGAAAATCATATTAAATGTCAACATTTTAAATGTGTGCATAATTACTGTTGCTTGGTAGCACTCTTTGTTCCAGAGAATTGTTCAAGCTCATTCTGGAGAACTACTGAGTACGTGATTTCTTACCTTTCTTCCAAAATTTTATGACAAGAATCAGATTTATCTTACATTGTTCAATTTGACCAAAGGCATTCTAATTAAATGCATACGTGGATTTCTGTTTTAGCTACTCCCAGATGTTGTCCAAGTAGCATCAGTTTAAATTCCCTGTTTCTTTAGAAACCTTTATTTAGCTTGTTGGTGTTCTGATAGTAGCTGTAAGCTTATGTGTAAGCTAAAGAAGTGGAGCTTAGGCTTTCTGCTGTGCAGTACCATGCGAATATTCTCGCTGTCCTGATGCTGTGGTGATCAGGGGAGGCTAGACATTCGCTATATTAAAACTGTGCATTGTGTCCTCCAGGACTGGACTGCTGCTCTAGTACTGGCTTTGGAAATGCTAGTGACATAATTATCATATTTTAGCATATTGTGCATAGATTAGCAAAAATGCAGTCACAATATTTTTTAAGTCATCAAAATTACTTCTTTTTCCTAATTAACTGTCTTTGCATTGCTTGAGTGCTTTGACTGTAGAGTCACTTGAATTTATTTTGCCTATTTCTGGGAATGGATCTTCTTGCAATAATGTATTTTTGTTTTACAGGTGACTCTGACATCATTAGAAGCATGCCAGAACAAACCAGTGAGAAGTAAATGCTGTAAAGGTGGTCTTTCTACAATAAACTGGTTTCAGATCTGTTTTAAGAGAAATTTGTATTGTATTATACTTCTGCTGGTTTTAGAAAACAAACTATAAATGAAGATTCGTTATCACTGCTGTCTGTCTTGTTCTGTTAGAAGTAACCTTCACAGGACAAAACTTGCTTGTTGCCTCCTGTAGAAGTTGAGCTTCAGTAGTAAGACCTGACCGTGGTAAGTATCAAATCCCAGCAGGCTGTGGCTTTCTTAAGTGTTTTGGTTTTGTTTTGTTTTGTTTTTTTGGAGTGCTCATAGGAAAACAAGTTGTAATGAGGTAGTGGCAAATTTGGGATGTTGGTGGGAGACTCCACAGGATTTACTTACACTTAATTTTTTAACACTTTTTTTTTAAACTTAGTCACAAGCTCTTAATGCAAATTACTCTTCTTGTCTCTTCTTTCCAAGAGAATATGTATGTCAGGTGCAAACCAGCTAACTGCTAGACGTGATGCATGACATTACCCTTTCAGTAAGATACCAAATTGAACATCTCCAAACTGGTCTGAAGTCAGTACCCTTTTTTTAAGAAAGCTTTCTGAATGCACTGTGGTAGAGTGCGATTGAGGTGATGTTCTCAAGTCACTGTTGAGGAGGATGGTGCTATCTGCTGGATTTCTGCCTTTTTTTTTTTTTTTTTACCACAATTTGAGGATATTTGTTAGTGCACACTACATGGCATATTGCATTTTGCTACATGTAGTTAAAGGGATGCTTAATGACAATCATTTGAACCAGCAGACCTGAAGAACTTGCATTCTGCTTTCTGAAGTGAATTAAAATACAAGGTGCTTCTTTGTACACATGCATGATCATCAGATCCATAATCACTTAAATCTAATTTTGCTGCAGCTGTGTTTCTGATATGGAATGGATGTGGTTATATATTTCAAGTTGGAGACAGTAAAGAGGCAAACACATGTGAAGCAAAGAAGGAATAGCTGGAGTATGCATCTACTGAGGTCTGAATTTGGATTAGTTCAGTACAGTTCAGGTACTGTTGTGGGCATGGAAAATAAAGCTATAAGAAGAGGGCTTTTGCTGTTATGAGGGCAGAAGTAAAACTTCAGTTGGCCTTAAGGCACTTCCAGAATGGCTGGAAGCAACTTGCTGTTTCATTTTCATATTAGCACTTGATGAACAAATGTGCAGCTGGTTTTATTGCCCAAAGAATGTCTTCATATTAAAATGCCAGTTGTATTCTGGGAAGTTCAAGAATTGCTGAATGCTCACCAAGACCAAAGAGGGAAACATCATCGTGTCTGAATCTGGCAAGAGAAACAGTACTTGGAATTTCCAGCTGTGATGCTCTGGTAACTCAACAGATTTCCCACTTCATTTACATTCATCACCATTCAACAAAGGTGTATAAATGTGTATTTCTACTTCCAACTGATTTCTGCAGTCTGCACGTGTTGGAAAGAGTGTGTGAAACCTAACTGCTGTGAATGCAGTTCTGTTTTCACATATGTGTGTGTATACGTATACACCGTCACACAGATAGAATGCTTGAAATAGCAACAGAGTGAGTGGAGGAGGAAAGTACAGAAAAGCAAGCCAAATAAATTCACAGCTTAAAAATACTTCAAAACGTGGAGTTTTCACATGAAAAAATAACAGCATTTTAATGTTTTGCATAGCTTCTTTTGGTTAAGTTCTACTTAATGAGGATTTCTGCTAGTTGCTAAATTGTTTTTATATATAAACTTTCAAAACTTATCTGCAGTCAATGCAAGACAGAACACGTATAGATGCAGGGCTCCAAAATACTTTTTAACTTTAGACAAGGATTTGTTATTTTACTTTGAACTGGTGTAACAAAATAGCTCTCACAACATTGTATGTATAAATACACAGTGTAGTATAAGCTTTAAATTTTGATCAGTATTTTAGTCTGTTTTCCAAGTCTTCCATCCTCTTTGTCATTTCTTCCAGTATATAGAAGTTAAGGAAAGAGCTGGTGATGGTGTGCAGTAATATTAAAAAATGCCAGGTGTCTGAGTCAGATATTGCTGAGCATGACATTTCTGCCAGGGCCCGGACATGTGCACTGACCTGACATGTTAACTGTTACACTCAGCTTTACTATCAGTGTATATCAGCATATTCCCAGTCTGTGAACAGGTGAACAAACACTTGGACAGTGTTGGGTATGGAGCACAAATCTTATGGGAGCTGCTGAGGAAACCTGCTGAGAAACTGTTCTGGAATCTAAGGGGAGACCTTACTCTCTCTACAAGTGCCTGAAGGGAGGTTGTGGCAAGGTGGTGGTGGACTTCTTCTCCCATGTAACTAGCAGTACGAATAAAGAATGGACTCAAATTGCACTGAGGAGCTTCAGGTTGGACAGCAGGAAAAACTACTCTAAAAGAGTGGTCAAGTGCTAGAGTGGGCTGCCCAGGAAGGTGTGGAGTCACCATCCCTGGAGGTGAAGAGTTATGCAGATGTACAGAGGGATGTGGTTTAGTGGGAAATACTGGTGATAGGAGTATGGTTAGACTTGGATTATCTTGGAGGTCTTTTCCAACCTTGGTAATTCTGTGTGTGATTCTAGTGCTTATAGCATCATTCTTAGACGTCTCCAAGATGAGCCATCTACGTGGAGGCCTTAAGGTACTAGTACTGCCAGCAAGACCCTGGAGGGCTCTGTTAGCCTGACTGTGGACAGACATGTTTAACTCCACAGTATTTCAGTCCAAAGCTGTTCTTGTCTAGGAAGCACACAAATAGCTGCTTATATAGCTGCACTTCTTGCAGAAAATAAGTGCTTACTGGTCATCTATATGACTCTTAGAAGACTTAAACAGAAGGTGTGATGCCTTCTTACTACTTACTTAATTTGATTATGTAGAAGCAGGTTTTATGAAGAAAATCCAGGAGTTTGCTGTGTATGTAATGTTTGGTGCAGAATACAGGAGAAACTCACTGCCAGTTTTCTGCTATTTTCCTGAGACCTGATGGATGTTTAAGATATCATAAAGGCTACTCTACTAACAGCTCCCTTGAAAAGACAGCCTAGCTTGTGGAAGGGCTATCAGTGTGCACTTAACTCCTTTTTCTGTGTGTATTCTTACAAAATTAATCAGACTGCATGTCCTTTGATTCCTCTACATTGGGAATCTTATTTAAAATGCCTTAAAGTGCTTCACCTAGCAGTCAAGAAGGGAAATACCTCCTGATCCCTGTAGCTACTAAATGATCTTTTGTTACTATCTGAAGTAAACAAAGCAAAGAGTGTTAGGCTTGGTTTTTGACTAGTCCTTCCTTTGCTGATCCTGAAGATGCTTACTGTTAGAAATTATTAGAAGTTACGATCCTTATTAATATGTTTGGTCCCTTCTGTGAAGGAGACCTCAAGCCTGAAGAGCCCTGCTTCCTGGAGATTGACAATCTCTAAGTAGTTCAGCTTTTCATTACAGTAGATTGATTTGAGCCATGGAGGCAGCTTAGACTTGATGGCTATAATTTCTTTTAACTGCTCTTGATCTGTGCATAAGAAACATTCTGAAAGGATATATCGCTGCGTGAGTCGTCTTACTTCGTTGGTTGCGAAGTTCTGGAACGTCACAAGGTTTTCACATTTGCATTGGTCTTTTGAAGTTTTTGCTGGAAAACAGTCAAGCATAGACAAAATGCTGAATAAATCCAGAGGGCTGAGAGGGGGAAAGACAAAGACTTCTGAAAGCAGAGCAAGTTTAGTACAGCTTCCTGTTCTCAAAACAAGTCAACATCCACAGGAATGCCATGGGGCAGATTTTGTAAATACTGGAAAATATTACACAGCACTCCTTAAAAGATCAGGCAGAATTACCTAAGCAAAGAACCTAATTACCTGTTGTCCTTGTTGAGTGAGTGTGACTGTCTTCAAAAAGATACTTATGCTGTATTGCAAGACTGGGACAGGCAAGGACATCTGTGATTTCTACTGTGGTTGATTCAGGTCCTGCAGGAAACCCCCCAAAAGTCTAAAAATCATACCCACTTAATGGTACAGTATTTTTGCTACTCACATGCACAGAGTTTTCCCTTATCAGTGAGTAATCTCACTAATTGTAGTGAGAGGATCATTCATGGAGAGGACTAGCAATACAAAGATGTGAAGGAACCAAGCTGTTAGGCTGTATTTACTGTGTATGTGATTTAAGCTGCGGGTTGCAGAACTGAAAGGGAGTTGTGAAGGTTCCTGTGAGAAACAAGTGATTGAAAGCTGAACATGCTTCACAGAAATCGAGCACAGTATTGAAATACAAGCTTTCCCTTGAAGTAATTTATTTGGATGGTGTAAAAAGGGAGCATGCAGCCGTGCATTTGTTACAGTGGATCTCAAATTTTCTGTACTAGGAGCAGATCTGAATTGCAGAAAAGAAAATTGCAGAAAAGAAGACTCCAGGGGAGATGGGTGGGGAAAGCAGTTCTCTGAGTGAATTGTTAGGGCTCTGCAGAAGAAGCCATGCTGAGGCAGCTTCGCAATGGGGACACAGCGGGACACTGAGTTCAAACAGCCAACCTGATGACTGTGGATTAGTCCTATGGAGCCTTCCAGATGACAGATCTTGACGGTGACCTGAATTTCTCAAGGCTGGTAGAAAGAAATGGTTATTTAATTAAATGAGATCACAGAAAGGACAATAAAGATGTAATTCCCTAGAAAATCAAATCTTACTTGTCTTTCACCATACATGGAGATGGCCTCGTACCTGGCTTCAAGAGGTCCAGTGTTGATGGACAACACACGACTCACCTTTCAACTCACGTACTGGAGCTCTCCCAGAACTGAAAGTACTTCACAAGTAGATTAACAGTGCTGAAACAGTGTGAAATCACAGCAGCCTATGTTGTGTTCTTCTGGTGAAAATTCTTGCATGTTGCACTGTTACCCGTGAGTTTTTTGAGGGTGAACTGAATAAGAATAAAAACTGCTTACAGAAAGATGAAATATTCTCCCCTTTGAAAGGAATTTGGAAGTGCTTGGTGAGAAGGGTGTGGTAGTTTCTTTGATGCACTATAATTACTAGAAAAAGTACAGGTTTCTAGCTCAAGGAAGCACAGACTGAAGTCTAATTTATTTATTAGTGTCTTGACAGAAATGGAAATGTCTTTGTCAAGGGTCATTCTGCACACTGCCTGTTTCCTGCCACAAGAGGGTAATGTAGAGGCAGCTTTTGTTTCTTAGGAGTTCTTTTCCAGAAAACGAAACGTTTTACTTTCAGTTAATTTTAGAGCCCTTGGGTGCACAGATGAATTGGAAAGTGCACACTGAACCACTGCACACCTTCATCTACTGTGCCAGGGGAGTGCATGTGAATGTCTGGAACTCCCTTCCTCCTGATTCTGCAATATGTACCCAAATTTCCTTCCATCCTAGAAAGTGGTTACATGAGGAGAAATAGTAGGAGTACAAATGCTGGTGTGCCATCAAGATGCAGCAGGCAGATGGAAGATTCTTCTGGACCTGACCTGTTTGTCACAGCTATTGGGAGCTCTATTTCTATCAGTCCCGTGAGTTTTGACGAATACATGATAATGCACAGATTTATTAAGTTGCACTGGGAAGCAGATGATGCACTTGGGGTGGAAGCTGGAATGGCTGAACACAAGGAACAGGGAATGAATGGAGATGGGGCGATGGAAAAGAGGTGAGTAACTGAATAAGACCAGCGTTTATTGGACAGAACTAGAGCATTTATATACATTTAAAAAGCAGGACTGGGACCTTGCTTGATGGAACAGTGAGATCTCAGAGAAAACAGTCCAGGATAGAAACATGTGGGATGAGATCATGAAGCAAGGAAGAAACAAACTAGGTGATGAGTTCAGTGTAAGGATGAGCAACTAGGAACGAGAATGGCGAAATTCTACATGTAGGAGGGACAAAACAGGTAAGGTGAACATTGAGTATTTGACACCAGGTAATGGATGGGCCTAGAAGCTGCTTAAGGGCAGTAGGCTAATAAGACTGTCTAAAGCAGAGGGACTGACATGGAAATTCTGAGCTTTGGACGCTGAGGATTTGGATGTAAGATGGGGAAAAAACAAGACTGAGATACATTAGCAGAGGTGGGGCAGAATGTTTCTAGTCTGAGATCAGGCATTTCAGAAACTCCTTTTCAGGTTTCAGAAAATAGTTTGGATCTGAAGAATTCTGTTCTCATGCTTCTGGCAAAGCTGTAAACAATCAGACAAGTACAGACAGGTTGCTAGCAGTAATGATGAAGTCAGTGCAGTGAACATACATACTCAGTTTTTTTGGGGGGGCAGAACTCATGCTAAACTGAGGTGCTTGTTTCTAGTGTTCTCTTTTGGAACAAAACCTAAATACTAGCTAGGGTAAAGCCCATGAGAAAGTGTTTTCCAAAGCAGTGGCTGACTATTTGCAGCAGTTATAATGATCTGCAATTTGAAAGAACAAAATGTTTAGCAGCAGGCTGCTGAATGCTGTCATCTGATCAGGGCTGGAGTCTTGTGACGAACATAAATCTAACCATGTAATTAAAGGCTCCCATAACACACGTGCTCTGAACAGGCGTCAAAAGGCAACCATGATGAGTGCCTATTGTATGTGACACTGCTGTAGCTTTGTCAGTGCTTCCAATCATATGAGTATTGAATGTTAAATGAGGCAATGAATAGGAATCTTCCGACTGAACTATCCTTATTAATAATTCCTCTTTGTAATAGAAGAGAAAAACACATTTTCATGACTAGTCATCAAGAATAATAGTAATCAGCAGCTATTCTACAGAGCTGATGTTTTCTTGCAGAGTAAAAGGAGAAAGCCTTACCCCAAAACAGATTTGGAGGGTTTCTGCTTTGCTTAGAAAAAGGCAGGGACTGGGGATGAGAGGATTTGTCAGTGGAGTCCATGTCTGGGCTGCAGACAAGTTCAGAGGGCCCTCAAAAGTTCACTGCCCTCATAAGCCTTAGATTAGTTCTTGCAAAGGAGGGAGAAAAATTAGGCCCAGAGGAAAAACTGAAAGGAAAAAATGAACTTCCAGCTTGTGGAACAGGTTTGGAGGCAGAATTTCTGGTATAGTGAGTAGATGAGCAATATGTAGTTCTAGAGTGTCCAGGAAAATAACCAGCTGGGTAAGTCCAGAGTTATCCACTGGTGTGAGGCATTGCCTAGAGGTGAGCCAGGAGGAGGCAGGCAGAAGCTCTGAGGCAGCAGCTCTGCCCTGCTACTACAGGTGCAGTTTAAAAACTGCCACAAAGGGGCAGGATTTACTTATTTTTCATGTTGCAGGTACTGTATTAAAAAAAATCTAAAAATTACAGCTGCTGAATATTGTTGTGGGTACCTGAAGGATGCATTTCCATCACTGAGCTCTGGGTTTGCTAATGAGTGAGAATTATTTCACCAGTTGCCAGATAATTTTGTCTTTGGCGTCTCCCCAGGCTTTTAAGATGACTTGCTGTCATCAGTAGATTATCTGCCTAGTAAGAAAGTTAGCAAACAGACTCGGTTTCATGTTATCATAGTACTTTGAATTTCAGAAAGACTGAGCTAGAAGATTCTTATTATTAAGAGAAGCCCAAAGAATATGCAAACTAGGAAATATTCTCACATTCTTTTTTTTTTTTCTTTTTTTTCAGATTCTTGGTGTCTGAATGAGGAAGAAATGCACTGCTCCTTGCCAGCCAATTGTACACAGTAACACTAAGGAGTAAAGTAAAACATCTTTGCATTAAATTTCAAGAAAAAACAACCAAATAAAAGTAGTGAAAATTAAACCATCCTGTAGTAGTAGTGCTGCTCTCAATATTATTCACTGTGAAGTTACTGTGTTTTGTTTTGAGTACAAATTTGAATGTTCTAATAATATCCAGTGCTGGGAGCATGTGAGTAGAAAAGACACACAGTCCTCTCTGGGTGTACAGATTTAATCCCAGCTCACATTCCCTCTTTCCTTTGCAAAACATCAGGTGGGAATGTTTAGAGAGAGGCTGGTTGTGCCCAAATGAGGAAGGGTACTTTCTGCAACAAACCTGTATTTGTGGAGCAAAACTTGGAGCTTATGTACAACTGTGATCCATTCTCTGTAGCTGAATATGTATATTCAGTGAACTATTTTAAATGTTTTATAAATATATACTACATAGCTTGATAATTCATTCCATGTTTTTGGGTATTTTTTTTTGTTTGTTTGTTTTGTTTTGCTTTTTGCTATTGAACTTAAGAGCAATTTTTTACTCTCATTAAAACTTTATGAACCCATTATTATTTTCCCACATTCCTAATGAAGTAGATCACACTGCTTTGGCAGGGTGGGGTTCAGTGCTCTGCTGACTTGAGCGTAGCAGAAAGAAAGGGGAGGAAGCAATTAATTCTTCTGAGCACAGGAGTGTACATTTTATACAAGTGTTAAGAAAACAAAGGAAAAGAAATCCTGCACCTTTACCTAGTGATAGATGGTGTGTATATATTCCTTACATATTAAAAGGCAGAAAAATCACCATGAGTGACTTGCACCTTGTAATGTGTCGTAGCAATGATCTATGTTATGACAGAGGCCACTGTGAATAAAAGTACCTACTCCTTTAGCATGCAAAAGAAATCTGTAAGCATGCATTCCTCTTCTATCAATTAAAGCAGAATACTGGTACCTTCACAGATCTGAACTTTCAGCTCTTCGCTTATGTCCTCCATTGCTGTGAAATCCTCAGCATAAAAGAGATGTTTGTATGATGGCTCAGAAGCAATTTCCAGCAGTTCCTCTTCAATTGCTTTTCCTATTCCAATGGCATAGATAATTATACCTAGAAGAAATTGCATATAATTATTACATCAGCAGTCCTAAACCCTTGATCCTCCATGAAAGGAAAATATGAGTATTAGTCATTTCAGGAAGGGAGCAGGAAAGCATGAAAAATGTATATATGCCATATATCTTCAAAATTGTGTACGAAGAGGGATATTAATGCTTCTGTTATTTAGAAGATGTTTAGAAACTCACTGCTTTACTGTAATTTGACAGATAGTTTTTATGACAGAGAGATGAGAGTTGCTTGGCCACTACTAGAGTAAATGTACCCAGAAAGAGCACTGCAAAACATCCAAGAAAATCAGCTGCACAAATCTAGTCGGAGGTCAGTAACTAGCTGTGTACCCCAGGAGTCAATACTGCGGCATCTTCTAAAGCCTGGCTGTACTCTCTATGTTGCAGGCCATCAGCCTTTGTTCTTAATGCAGTTTTTCAGAACACAGAAAATGCTTTGCTGTGCAGAGAAAAAAAGGGATCCTTCATTTTCTTGAAAAGCTTTGAAAATTTTCAGTAATGTCTGCTGAATAGCTGTAAAGCTTTTGATTTGTGGTGCGGGTGTCCTACATGACAGCCTTCTGTCCCAGACATATTTTGTCTTAAAAGCCAGCACCTTTGAGTTACTTTATGGCACGATCTGTCATGCTGGAAGACAGCACTGAAGCTATATGCACACGAAAGGAGAGCCCTTCTTCCTTCCAGAACAGCATCAGCGCTCAGACTTAGTTAAAAATACATAATATAAATAAATAAAGATATAACATAAACAATTATTAAATTATTAAACAACGTAAACTTCCCAGTAGATTTCTGTATTTTGAAGAGACAGGGTTGTGTTCTTTTTTTTAATTAGTGTCTTCTTACTGTTAGAATTTTTGATGAATTTTCCAGTATCAAGTACCTCCCCTCAGGGAAATGCATGGCATGCCATGTGAGTCAACGCACTACCTGTGGATGGCACAGAACCCCAGTAGTGAGGCACTCAGCCACAGAAGGAATGACAGAACTCAGTAGCAATGGCTCTGTGAAACAAAAGATCTGGTCTTCTTCTACAATGGTCACTCAACTAGCCAGACTGCTGTGGCAAACTGTGTTGATTAGCAGGTAATGTAACACATCCATACTTACCACATCTTATTTAGCACCATGTTTACCTTTCTGAAAGAATGAAAGACATCGCCACTCACCACTTCTCTTTGCTCTAGCAGCCCAGTCAGAGACTTCATCTTGGGCTCGTCCGTCTGTAAACACAATGGAGATTCGAGGGATGTTTGCTGACAGTGGTCTGGCTCCTTCTGTTTCTGTGAAGCTTCTCTCAAACATTTGCCTCAGTGCCAGTCCTGTCATGGAGCCTCGCCCCATGTATTTCATTTGTGATACAGCTTTCTTCATGTCTTTGGCTGTGCTAAACTGTCTTAATGTAAACTCTGTGCGGACTTCAGAGGAATACTGAAGCAAACCAACTCGAGCAGCTTTGGGTGAAATCTCAAGTGTATCTAATATTCCTGAGACGAATTGTTTTACAATTTCAAAATTATCCTCTCCGAGACTTTTTGATCCATCGATCACAAACACCAGATCAACTGGGCCTTCAGTGCATCCTGTGAAATAAGCAGAAGTGTTCAGATAATGAAAAAACTGCACAAAGCTGTAAAGAGGACTGCATGAACACAGAGATAACCTTGGTACAGTGTTCCTGGCTCAGCCAACCTTGCAGTGTGTCTAGAACTGTTTGTGGACAGTCTTTATCAAAAGCTAAGAGTGTGCCAAAAGCTTTTAACAATAATCTAATCACAATGTCTATCTATCATTATGTGTCACTTTGCAGAATAATACAACTCCAAAAAATACTGCTCTTTTTTTGTGAGTTTGCAGTAAATCAGATTTTTAAGAAAACCTTAAGAATGACTGTTAAGTGGAGAAAACTGCATAACTGAAGATCTTTAGGATGTAGAAACAAAGTTTCCATCATTTTCTTCCAGGGATAGGATGCTAACATGCATAGGACAGCATGTTAACTTTACCTGAAAATGCAGATGACCTGAAATAACGAGAATTGCTGAAGCTGTGTTTGTACTGCAGAAGTAGCAAAAATGTAAAGATGATACAAGAAAAAAAAAAAAAATAAATGAGAGTTGCTGAAGCCACACATACATAAAAGGAGAAAATCTAGAAGGTCATGTTTAGACCTGCAGGAAAGAATGAGACAGGAGCCAAAGAGCTCCGGGAAGGCTGAGAGAGAAGGGTTACACAGAATGCCCTACAGTTTAGGACTAGATTCATGTCTGGAGACAGAGTATGGACAATGCTCATGTTTTTATAGCACAGGCTTAAATCTCCAGTGGCAGAAAAACAACTGAAAAATTAAAAGTGAGGCAGTAAATGCTAGAAGGCTTTCTAGCTGCTAATGTTGGATAAAAATGGTTTATATACTTGCTTGTAACTCACTGCTGAAATTAATCTTTTCTGTTTCACCCACTGAAGCTGGGAGACAATCCAGGAGAGCCTGACAACTTTGCAGTCTCATACTTGGTTAAGTGCAAATGCAAAATTCAAAGCGGGTTGTAAGCATTCTGATTTGACTGCAGAACATACTGAAGACATCTATTATTGAGTCAGTGTAGGAATAAGGAATTTTCACTAATGTTTGGACTTTTCTTCCTAGACAACAGCCTTTTTAGAACTACTGTCCAAGAATTCCTTGCTGCTGAAGAAACAATGCATCATGTACTAAAGTAATGGTAATACAATGACTATCAGAACCACTTCAGTATCACTCCATATGTCAGGATGAAGCAACAGCTCAAGGTGAGCTGGGTTAATTACAGTTGAATTCAGTCACAAACATGTTTTAGTAATAATAATGTGCTCCCCAAGAAAGGCATACATTTTTGCAGAATATACGCTTTTACTGAGCTCCAGCAGAAGAGTTTCTCCTCCAGGAACTAAAAGGGTGATGCAATAAATGCATATAATGCTCTAAGCATGTCATATTAAAAGCTAAGAATAAAGCACACATTTCCTTGATAATAATATTTCTTTTTTTTTTTTTTTTTCTTGACATTTGGGAAAGATTATTATTGTACTTGATGCTATATGAAAACAACTGTTCCAAATTCTTAGTTTTTTGCTTACAAGCGCCTGAAGATAAATTGCTCAGTACATTTTCTATGACATTCATATATGCTTCGGGCTCAGTTATCACTTATATCAGTTATATCAGTTATATAAGTTTTGAACTGAGGCTTTTGAAGTGAGGTCAACTAACTTAAACGCTCATAGAAACAATTTATATTCAAATATAATGTACTTACTTCTGCAGGTTTTCTGATCCTCTTTTAGTACATACCCCTCCTGACATTTGCAGACGTATGAATCATCATTATTAACACAAATATGGTCACAACCATGGGCAACTGATTTACAGACATCTTTGCCTATGAAACATTTTAAACATTTACAAATTCAGAGACTCCAAACACAACGTTTAAATAATTTAAATAACACATGTCAAAATAGACCATTTTATCTTTTTTTTTTCCTATAGCAATGCTGAAGAATGGCAGACAGACAAATTGTTACTTACTTCGACATGTTCTTCCATCTTGTCGCAGGACAAATCCCTCATGGCACTGACAGCTGTATGAATTGTTATTATTAATGCACACATGTTCACAGCCATGGTCAATGGACTTACACAGGTCTTTATCTGAGAATCATTAAGAGAATTTCCTTATTAGATCTATTCTTAAATGCAAAGCTGGCATGAGCCAGTTTTGAGAAAAACTAAGTCTGTAATCATTTTTATGACTGAAAGGACATATTCCCCATAAAAGTTTTAGGTACTCACTCCTGCATGTTCTCCTGTCTCTCCTCAGTATAAATCCCTTGTGGCACTGACAAGTGTATGAATCACCAGCTGGAACACAGACGTGTTCGCAACCATGGTTGACTGTTTTGCAGATATTTTTACCTTGGAGTAATGAAAATTATATTTAGCACAGTTAGCTACATAAATAACTTTCACAAAATACAAAAAAGCACAACGATAATCTTCCATGAAGCAGCTCATTTCCAAGAAACTGACTTCATTTTATTCTGTGAAGCTGATTATTAAAAACACAAAGAGCACACCATATAAATAATAAGTTTCATGAATAGATCAGAAACTACATAATGAAGACTAAGCAACTTACTTCTACAAGTTTTCCCATCTTCCCTCAGTATGAAGTCATCATGACACTTGCAAATATAGGAATCGTCAGTGTTAACACAAATATGCTCACAGCCATGGTTAACTGACTTGCAAACATCTTTATCTGAGGAGAGTGGACAGTTTACTAGGTGAGGTTCTTTAGGGAGAGATAATATCTTTTATTTACCAGATTGTGTAGTTATGAATCACAGATAAACATATTCATGCACAAACTCTCACAGCCACAACACTTAGAAGACATAACACTTAAAGCCAAAAAAAACATTCTTATTGCTCAGGCTACTCACATTTACATGTCTTTCCATCTTCCTTCAGTATGAAATTTTCATGACACTTGCACATGTAGGATTCTTCTGAATTCACACAAACTTGTTCACAGCCATGGCTGACTGAACTGCAAATATCCTTGTCTGCCATCAAAAGAGTTGGTAGTTAACATATATCAGCAGAGGCCTTGATTATGTTGTTATGTGTCGTTCATCAAATTAAGTTCTCATGCTACATACTTTTGCAGGTTTTCCCATCTTCTCTCAGTAGAAATCCATCATGGCATTTGCAAATATACGAATCATCAGTATTAACACAAACATGTTCACAGCCGTGGTTGACTGACCTGCAAAGATCTTTATCTGAGAACAGATAACAGCTCTTGCTAGTTAATACATTTCTACACGACCTTGAATTGCAGATAAAAAGCATGCTGATAAATATCAGACTACTTACTTCTGCACGTTTTTCCATCTTCTCTTAGCAGGAATCCCTCCCGACACTTACAAACAAATTCATCACCAGCATTAACACAGGCATGTTCACAGCCATGGTTGACTGATTTGCAAATATCCTTGCCTGGAAATAGATAAAATTTAATGTGATTTGCTAGTTAAAATTTTTTCAGATTTTTCATAAAGACTGCAGGGGTAATCCCATCAGCAAAGAAATATGGAAGCATGCACACTGAAAGCTAGTTAAAGGATTGACAGCTTACCTCACATGAGGCATGAGTTCTTTACTGTCTAAGCAGAAAGAACTACGTGGTTTGGATGGTCTCCCAGTGATGCTGAATCATTTTAGGACCAATCTGACTAGATTAAGAAGGAGGACCTTACATGGGCAGCAGGAAGAGTAAAAGAAGGAATATTTAGTATAGTTATTTAGCAAAAATTCATGCTAGTGAAAACAAAACTGAACAAAAAACCACAGCACATGAAGCAAAGCGCTCCTTTAGGATTCTTACATCAATGCTAAGAATCTGCACAAGCAAAACTCAGGAGTGTAGGAACTACTGATTTAAGGGCATGAAGAAAATCAGCAGTATTGGGAAAAACTGATGAGGGGATTTCTATAAGTGCAATGTTAAAGCCAACTGGCCATAACCTCTTCAAGAACAGAGAAAGAAAAAGTAGAAAAGGAAGTCATCCCATCTATCAGCATTCCCTGTTCCTTTCTCGCTGCAACAAAAGAAGAAAATATTCTCAGTTGCTAATGCAACCTTTACACAGCGACTACAACACTGGATGCCACTAACAACAGTGTTCAGATCTGTCAGAATTACAGAATTGTATCCCAAGTTGGAAAAGACCCGCAAGAGTCATCAAGCCCAGCGCCCAGCTCCACACAGGACACCCCAAATCCAAACCCCGTGTCTGAGCGCTGCCCAAACGCTCCCTGAACTCCGGCATGGGGCCGTGCCCACTGTCCTCCACTGCCCCGTGCAGCCCGTTCCGTGCCCGCCGCCCTCCGCTGCAGCCCCTGTCCCTGACCGCCACCCGCTCCTCCCCTGACGCAGCTCCATGCCGTTCCCTCGGGCCCTGTCGCTGTCACACGGAGCAGAGCTCAGCGCTGCCCCTCTGCTCCCTGCAGCCGCTGTCAGGCCTCCCCTCAGCTCCTCTGCTCTGGGCTGCACAAACACAGGGACGTCATGTGGGACAAGCCCTTCCCTCACCTGCTGGCAGTGCTGGGCCTGCTGCACCCCAGGTACGGTTGCCCTTGTGGCCGCCAGGGCACACTGCTGACTCGTGTTTAACTTGCCATCACCCAGAACCCCCAGATCCCTTTCTGGGGCTGCCCTCCTGTTCCCCATTCTGTACATGTAAGCAGGGCTGCTCCATCCCTGGTGCAGAATTCAGCGCTTTCTCTTGTTAAAGTTAGCACTGGTAACTGGTTGATGACTGCCCAGCCTCCTAACTTGTGAACACCTCTCTGCAAGGTCTCTCTGCCCTCAGGGAAGTCAATAGCTCTTCCTAATTTAGTATCATATTTACTTAGTATGCATTCAAGTGCTGCGTTCAGATAATTTTCAGAAACACTGATAAAAGCTGGCCATAAATTGGAGGTGGAGTGACTGGCCTGATGTAACTCCATTTATTATAACCTTTTGAGCCCAACCTGTCTGTCAAATGTTCACCATCTGCATTATGTTTTTGGCTAGCCAGACATTTTGTCCAAAAGGATAACGTGAGAAAGCTTAATGAAAGCCTTGCTGAAATCCAGAAATATCAGATCAGCTGGATTCTCCTGATTCTTAGCAATTAGCAGAATAACCAATTAGGCTTAATGTGTAGAAAAAAATATATTTTTTCACAAGAACTTCAGCCTAAGGTACGTTACTTGAACAGTTCAGGCTGTCAATACAAAGAATTGCAAAAAATGCTAGAGTGGACAATCTTCTAACTCAACAAGCATTACATTCAAGGCATAACAATCTCAACTAGATCCCATTCCAGCAGGTAAAGAAGAAATGATTATGGAGGTAAAAATTAGCATTAGTTAGCATCAGCTTATGCACAGCTGCGTGCAACATTCATTATTTTCAAATGGAATGAAATATAAATGAGCAACAAAGTTCTACTTAAAAAGAATAGATTTTATATAGCTGAAAGCAATTGTGAGCCAAAGTACTTTGTGACCAGAGGTGAAATAATTTAAACAAAAGTGAATGATGACTGTAGTATTAAATCTTGCTTTACTGAATTCCTCCAGAAAAAAACTTACAGACATCATCTAAAAAGAACACCAGAATAGTTAAAAAAGGAAGAGAAACTGAAATAGAATACAGCTGTAAGATTTGAATAATGATTGAAAGGAAAATTCACATTATTTACTGAAATTGAAAATAAGTGGAATTTGAAACACTGAAATGAAAAGACACAGGCTAAGCTGCAATGCCAACAAAGTAAAGGACAGTATACATTATTTGAGGGGTGTTTGGAACAAAAAACCATTCTAACAATACATTGTTAATTAGTAGGTAGAAATACTAGAATTTCCATCTTTATGCATAAAAGTAAAAATATTAAAAATACTCAGATCTGAATTTTTCGAAATATAGGCTACAGATGATACTGTAGAACGAAGAGTTTCATCAGTTGAGAAGCAGGTCACACAGTATCTACTGAAGAAACAGCAGTAACTCCCGATCAGTTGCAGCCAAGAGATGTAAAAAGATCTGGCTGAATAACATTTTGGATGCTTAATATCATTTTTTGTTACCTCCTGGAACTCCATGGAAGTCCCAAAACACTGAAGTTTTCATCCCCAGAGCCTACACACACAGTGTTTGAAAAGTATAATGAGTTCACTGCAAGCCTGTCAGCTTGACGTTAATCTGCATTCAAACAACCAAATAAACAAATGTGGACTTTGATTTAGGAAAAATGAAAGAAAGAAAAATATTCACGTTTATATTATGAAAAAATAGGTCCCAGATAACTAAATAAGAATCTTTTTAATTGATTATGAAGCTGGTTCATAATGCTCAGGGAATTCAGTAGGGCATCAGTCTGGGTATTCAATGAACCTAAATGGATTAACATTGGCTAGAGAGGTCTTCAGGATAAACTGTAAATGGGGAATCACCAAGTGGCTTTCTTTCTAAGAATGTGCCCTGCTCTCTACTGCTTAAAATTTTAATGAACAATATTAAAAAAATATATAAAATAATCACTAATGAAGTTTACAGGTTACTTTATTGTTGAGAGAATGATAAATAAAAATACAGCTCTGCCGATGTAAGGAAACACAAACCTTTTTGCAAGCTGAGTAAAAACAAACTGTAAGCATTTTAAAATAACCAGAAGTAAACTTACATAATTTAGAAACAAAGAATGAAGGCTGTACTCATAAGATGTGGGACATTTATATGACTGAGAGTTTTAAAAGGCTTATGTTCATGGTATATAACTAGCTGAACATGAGCCTTAGGAGAATCGCATGGACTAACACTGTCTTTGGTCATAAAAGAAGGGAAGAATAAGAATTAGGTGGGTAACAGTTCCTGTATGCTGGACCCTGCTGTATGCTGTATTAGAGGACGCTGTACTATGTTCCACGTTGTGACATCACTGCAACAATACTGATAAATAGAAGCTTCAGGAGAGTAAGAAGAGATTTATGAGAAGAGTGGAAATCACATAGAGAGCCTGAAGGAATTTCACCTGCTTACTGTTTACTAAAACCATGCTAAGAGGCTAAGCTGATCAGTTAAATTATGGCCTACGTGAGTATACACAGAACTCCAACTCCTCACAGTCAAATGAGGCAAAATCCTATGCTCAAGATTAAATTGTGACAGTCTAAAAATGAAGTTCACATTTAAAAATGCACATTCTGACCTTAAAATTGATTGATTTTCTGAAATACATTTTAAATTCAAACAATAATTTATAGAAATCTTGTGACCTACAGAGGACAATATTCCATTCTGACCACCATGAATCAGTGAATAATTTTGTAATAGAAGGGAAATTCTATTTCCTCTGTTATTGACAAGCAACTTACTTCGGCATGTTTTCCCATCTTGCCTCAGTACAAATCCGTCATGGCATTGGCAAGTATATGAGTCATCAGTATTAACACAAAGATGTTCACAGCCATGATTGACTGATTTGCAGATATCCTTACCTAGGAATAATGTAGATTTTATTTACTACAGTTCAATAATTGAGAACATTTCAAAAAACGTAGAGACTAAAAGTATTAAATTCCTAGTAAAATAAAGAATCTATCCTCCTTTTTATCGCATAAAATCACAAATCAGAAGACCTATTTGTAACACAACATGCTTCCTCAGTGACTCCAGAGTGAGAAAATTACAGTAACATCAATAATTTACTTACTTTTACATGTTTTCTCATCTTCCCTCAATACAAAACCCTCATAACACTGGCAAATGTATGAATTATCAGTGTTCACACAAACATGCTCACAGCCGTGGTCAACAGAATTGCAAACGTCTTTATCTGGAAAAACATAAGAGTGCCAGTATTTAAACCATGTCTACAAATGCCCAGATTATAAAAGGAATCTTCTGTTAAAGGTAAGTACACTTACTTCTACATGTTTTTCCATCTTGTCTTAATGCAAATCCCTCGTAGCACTGGCAGACATACGACTCATCAGCATTAACACAAACATGTTCACAGCCATGGTCAACTGAACTGCAAATGTCTTTATCTGAGAACAGTTGATGGGTTTTGGTTAAAGCACATCTTCAATGTATATATTATGGAAGGAGAAGTAGTAGTTTTTATTAGGTTCACTGACATCATTCAAAGAAATGGACAAAAATTTAGGCAGAAAACACTTCCAGTTCTTGGTACCTGAAGAACGGTAGGTGTCGTTTTTTGTTTGTCTTCAGTCATATCAGTTTGGCTACTAAAGTATACTATTACTGTTCACTGAGTCTCTTACAAGCTTCTAGCAAGTATAACAACATTAATTCCACATTATGAGTAAGTTATGGAAGTGTTATTAGTTAAAATAATTCCACAAATCTACATACTATAGATAAAAGTCTACCAGAATACTTACTTCTGCATGTTTTCCCATCTTCTCTCAATAGGAAACCTTCATGACACTCACAAGCATAAGAGTCATCTTTGTTAACACAAATATGCTCACAGCCATGGCTGATTGATTTGCAGATGTCCTGTCCTGGGAATTAGTTAGATATAGATACAGTTTGGAATGATAACGTGTTCAAAAGGATCAAAAGGATGTTTTCTAGTGAGAAGTGAAGAAGTGATAAATACCTTTCTTTCCTTGCCTAATACACATGCAAAAATGTTCTAAATATATATGGGTTACTCACTTCTGCATGTTTTCCCATCATCTCTCAATATGAATCCTTCACGGCACTTGCAGATGTAAGAACTGTCAGTACTAACACAAACATGCTCACAGCCATGGCTGACTGATTTGCAGACATTTTTACCTGAGAATAAATCAACAGATAAAGAACTGTGCTAGTTAAAGGCAAGATGTTTTGTCTTACAGCTTCCAGGTACTGAATATTCTTGTTCTTGCTGGTATTCTGGACTCAATTCAGCAAATCATTTACAGCACTTAAAGTTTTTATTGTAACAAAGAGTCAAATCTTTGTTCTACAATTTTTACAACCTTATTATTAAGGAAAAGTGCACTGCTTTGGTTCCAGAGTTTGTATGACTTAATGTGTCCCCATCATGCAGGTTAACGTCCTGCAGAGATTTCCAAAAGCATTTAAACTCCACATCCACATTTCAAGTAAACTTCCTGGTGAAAAACCAGGATCTTTCCATCACCGTAATTTTTACCTCCAGTAATAAACTTGTGCCCAAACCTGAAATAGTTAAGCTTTCTTTCCTTGGAGTTCAGATGGTATTTGTCATTTTTCTGTACACAAAAATTGCAAGAGCTCAGTGTATGCTTAAATGTAATGAGGAACAAATTGTATGATCCTGCTGTAGACGTTTAGAAAACTGTCAGCTGTAACTGGTTGAGCAAATGTTTCGTGAACTTTTCTGACATGTGATTTAGTTACAAATTACATTTCAAAATAAAATAAAATTACATCTACTTATTAATATTGGATAAACTAAACTTTCACTTTCCTCCCCATATCCTTTGTTTTCACATAAGGGCTGCTGCATAGACACAAAATTTCACTTGCTTTTGCAATATCAAACTTCTTTTTGAGACAAGCAAAACTTATCTCTGTTCACACGGACTAACAAAGTAGGGTGTTGATTTGATATATGTAATACAAAGCTGATAAATGCAATACAAAACTGATAATACAGAACTTTTCTTTGTCATGTCAGTGTCTGGATTACTTGATTTTTTTTTAATTCTTTTAAATGTTAATTAACAGAAGATGCTGATGGAAATCTTGGATATGATTGGCATTATAGAATACATTATGCCTGTGTTTTCCAAAGACTTTTCCACAGTTCTTCTCTGATAACTTAGCATGCACTCCAATACCAGGGAAATTTTTTTATACTTCTGTTATTCATCATAACTACATAATGTAGCCAAATGTATAATACAATTACGATATCTATTTTGCAATCAACCTTATCTCACACTGGGCAAAGGAATGAATATTCCATTAGTACTGAAGGCTCCTTTTTGCTATGTAAGTCTTCTGAAATGTTACATATTTTTGTCTTGATTTGAGAAGAAAACTATAGTTGTCTGATATAAGAATGTAAGTTGGAATCCAATGATTTTGGATCCACACCAGACACAGTTAATTTTACACATTCCAGACATTTAGGGTGTGACTCAGGTGCCTGGAAGTTTGCACTCACTGCCACTTCAGATGCCCTCAAGCATGGAAGACCTGAACATAATGCTGGCAAACGTGACACCAAAGGGAAAATTGTGAGCTTCTGGAATCCTAGAGCATGTAAAATGTCACTGGAAAGCAACATTTAAGCAATCAAATCCTTCTTACAGTCTTATTTTCTTTATATGCAATAAAAATCTAACATTGACTTGCTGAATAACTTACGTTTACATGTTTTCCCATCATTCCGAAGCCTGTATCCTTCGAAACACTGACAAGTGTAAGATTTGTCACCGTTTATACACAAATGTTCACAGCCATGATCACTCAGAGCACAATAGTCAACTCCTGCAGGAGCAATTGATGTTATTGAAATAATTAACAATTAAACCATCATTTCTAGTATTTGCAAGGCATATAAGCACCAATTCTGTCCTTTATCTGATAATATGCATATATATACCTTCAGTTAAATTTAAGAGGGCCCTGTGGTATACTTTGCATTAATTACTGTAAGTGGAGTTGAGAATGCGTAGCACAACTCAACAGAATCTGGGTCTCAGTGCTCACAGAGTGAATTACAAAAAACTGACACTTTAACAATGTTTTTATAAAAGACAGTGGCAATGACAGAGTAGGTGAGCCTTCTTCAAAGATGGTCTCTAAATGATCTGATGTAAACACGGCAGGCAGAAAATCCCTGTGGGACCTCAGAGATGTTTGGCTTAGGCTAATCGAGCTTTTGCAAAGAATTGCAAACAAGACTTATGGAATACGGTCCATTTTTTCTTCTCAAATTTCCTAAGGGTTTCTTATTTGAAGTACCAAGACATAATATTCCCACTCTGCAGGCAGACTGACTACTTTTTATAGGCTACAGACACAGTATCACACTTCTTTTATTGTCAGAGTAGAAATCTGTTTACCACTCAGGTGTTCTCCCAGCTGTCTTAAGATACCTGCGCAACTGTGTATGACACCGGTGTTGTGATTCCCAGATGTTTTCCTTTTAGGAGTGGTAAATGCTAAATGCCAATCCCTTCCACTCAGCTGCTCATTCAGGGTATCACAAAGTGCCGAAAAAACCTTTCATGATAGTCTAAAAAAAAAGGTTTCAGCAACTCATCTGGAGCTCAGCAGTAAGACATCCTATATCTAAATAAATACAAGGAGAGGGATGCATGGGCAAGAATCATTCAAAAGGTCTCCAGTGTATTGCATGGAGGGATTCTAGAAGCCACAGCGTGGTTTTAATGCTGTTGATGGGTCTCCAATTACAGTCTGGAGGAAAATGACTGAATGGAAAAAAAAAAAACAACAAAAAAACCAAAAAAAAACAACCCACATCTATTTTTACTACAAAGGAAAAACAGATTTCCCATTCACAAGTTCTTAAAAATACAGTTTGTCTATTTCTGATTTTTCAGCATTTCTTTCAGATAGCATTTGAATTATTTCTAGTAGATCCTGTCCCGATGCAGGATCAGGACCTTGCACTTGACCTCACTGAACTTCAGAAGGTTTGTGCAAGCCCACCTCCACATGGAGCCTGTCCATGTCCCTCTGGATGGCATCTCTTCCCTCACCCTGCAAGTATGTCCTCTTCTCTTTGTGAGAACAGAAACCTTTCCCATGCGGGCTGAGATCTAACATGTTTTCAGATGACTTACGTGTGCAGGTTCGTAGGTCCTCATTGATGACAAATCCTTCAGAGCACTGACAGACATAGGAGTCATCAGTATTTAGGCACAGTTGCTCACAACCGTGATTGCTTTCTGCACAGTGGTCCACTCCTATTATTTGTGTTAATAATTGAAGAAAGCACATTTTTTTTTAAGATACATACATCACAAAACTGTAGCTCATGCACAATGCTCTTACAGAGCAAGGAAAAAAGATCAGTATATATTTTTTTATTTATGCAGTATCCCCATCTATGTTAGTAAACCGAATTAATCAACAACACCTAAGTGAAATGAATACAGCAACTCCACAAAGCAAACAACAAACTTGGTAAAGCACAGATTTCCCTTGCCAAACTAACACAGAGTAGAGTCTCAAGGCTCTGCCGGGTATTACCCACAGGATCACACTTTCCTTCTTTAAAAGGCAAGACTCTCTTTTGTTCACCATAAAATTGTCTCCGAGAGAAAGGGAGTGTATTAACATCTACCATTTATTTGTTTTTCCTATTTTTATTCCGATTCTAACTAAGATAAAATCGAATATTTTTTGAATCTTGTATGAAACAGACAGCACAAGGTGTAGGCTGAGATACGTGCACTTGCAAATGTACCATGTCATCTGCTGACTCTGTAAGTAGAGCAAAAGCACATTTGAGGAAAAAAAACTTTACAGCGAACTTTCTCATAACATTTTATTCCTGACTTCTCAATGACTATTTTTAGTTGTATAGGCTCAAATCACGTTAGCTTAACTTGATCAAATGTAGCAGAGTTCCTTCAGGCATGCACAGTCTCACATGTTTCTATTTGCAAATCATTCACAGATGTGACCAGACACGTCTGTAGCTGTCTACATAAAAAACAACAACAAAAAAGCAACAAACCTACACTTCATGTCAATTAACTTCATTTTAAATATTGACATCTATTTGTTTATTTAGCTAGGCAATGATGTTGCAGGACTGCAATGAGTCAGTCCCGATTTCCCATTATACATAAATAGAGATACATTGGCTTAAACAAGTGAAGCTGAGGTGAAAGTTTTTACTAGTTTAAGCAAGTTCCAGCTGGAACATTCTCCTTATTCCAAGGACTTACATCATCATGAAGAGGCTTGTGTAACTTCTTGGATCACATTAAAAATGTCCAAAAAAAAAAGAGCCGTTTGGCGCCATCTTTTACAATACAAACACCTACACTAATGTGAATTTTAACATTTAAATGCTTTGGTTTCTTATGCAGAATCTTTTAACACATGCTTTCAAGACAGCTGCCTATTTGCAGGTTTTAGAAAATAGCATAAATGCACATTTCTTCACCATGTATGTTGCATTACATTTTATTTCTTTTTTCAACAATTCTAAGAAGGATGATAAGGGGAAGGGAGAGGGAAAGATCTATATGACTAACAAAAAAAGACAACCAGTGTCTTATGATACATTTATTTTTAGATATTCAACTTGTGATTGCCTAAAAACATAATTCTTAAAATGTTTTCAGCTCTTGCAACACGTCCAAGTTTCCTTAAATATAGCCTTATCACAAACAGTTTATTTAAAAATAATACTCTCTGGCCTATAAACTATTTTTTAACTTAATTGACAGCATTCCTTTGGCAATATATGTCAATAGTACATAAGACAAAAATGCTACCCATATTTTAGCTGATATGCAAAATAGTTCTCTGAAAAAAAAAAGTATTTTCTGAAAAGCAGGTGACAGCAAGTGGGCAGTGGTGTTGGTGTTCTCTGGTGCAGCGCTGGTCCTTCAGTGACATTCTTATTAACAGAGGACATTTTATCAAACAGATTGATGAAAGTGTAAACATATGTAAGAAAGAAGTTTCTGTGCATCTCTATTCTATCTCCATTCTATGCATCTCTCTAACATATGTTAGTTTTGCGTGTGCTGCAGTTTAAACAGCATGGCTGAACAACTTTTCCCATTTATTAGGACTGGAGAAGATGACGCTTTAGTTCCGTGTTAAATCTGGGATCTTACTACAGCATTACTAGAGCTCGCTTGTGGCTGACTTTATAGAAACACAGGTTTGCATAACTCAGAAAGATCTCAGAAAGGACTCAGGGGCATTTTCTCATTCTATTCATACCTCACCCCACTGCAGTAACAGCTGCTGCAGTTCATGAGATGCTCACTTCTACATGTATTGTGGTCACGTCACAGGACATATCCAAGATGACATTTGCACATAAATGACTCTCCTGAATTAACACATTCATGTTCACAGTCATGCTGACCTAACTCACAGATATTTACATACAGAGAGAGAAAAATGATTAAGAATTCAAACCAGCCAGGAAGGTTTCTTAAGTACAACAGCTTGGAAAGAACATTTAAGGAAAAAACACTTTCCTTAAATGGTACCAGATTCTATGATCTGCACAACTTTTAAAGCTGTGTACATCTGATAATGACTTGAGGATCTAAGAGCTGTCTCTGAATACTTGGCTAGGCAAGACTGAGCTTAGACTTTATGCTCTTGCTCCAGCAGTCATTAGAATCTATGCCCTCTGGTGGAGGAGGAATGTCTGGTTATACATAATGGGTTTTTTTCCCTGATGTTATGAAGAGGGCAAAAGATTTACAGCCAAATTCAAAAAACCCTAAAGTTAAGGAAAAGTAAAGTACCCCAGTTTGTCCTTAATTCTCAATTAAATCCTAGGCTATAAGAATTTGAGACGATACAGTCCTTTTGCTCCTATGCTCACCAAGACACAGCCATTCTGTAAAAATCTGGATGTATTGAAACACCATATAAATATTAAAAGTGAGAACAGCATGGATTGCTGTACAAACAGCACTGTATCGACAATCATAGAATCACAGAGTGTCCTGGGTTGAAAACATCCTGCGGTTTAAAACCTACTGCTTAAAATCTGCTGTGTGCAGGGTTACCAACCACCAGACCAGGCTGCCCAGAGCCACATCCAGCCTGGCCTTGAATGACTCCAGGGATGGGCATCCTTGGGCAACCTGTTCCAGTGCGTCACAACCCTCTATGTGAAAATGCTTCTTAGAGATGCTTCTTAGAAAGCATCTCTAACTTCTTAGAGATGCTTCTTAGAAAGCATCTCTAAGACTTTAGAGATGCTTCTTAGAAAGCATCTCTAAGACTGAAAGTAAACAGTTTCAAAAATACATACAAGTTATAAGAGTCAAGAGACAATAATTGTATTGCTCTAACCAAGCTTCCTATTCATAGAATATCAGCAGTAAAATCCCTCCCCTTCCCCACTCCCCCCAGGACTGTGTCACCAGATCAAGCTAGTTCTTTTATTGACAGCATTACACTGAAAACCTGTGTGACTCTGAATCCCTGCTTGGAAAGAGCTGTAACACAAAAAGTATTTGTGAAGTAAATAATATGTATAATTGGTTTATAATCCCAACATTACTGAGGCTGTTTATACAGTTTGAAGGAAACTGTATGGAGTTTCATGTTTGATTTTAAGTTGCTTTTCATAACTACATTACAATCTATTACTTACTCACTGCTAATGAGGTAAATTTATTCTTGGCTAAAACAACACTGGAAAGCAAGATGAAATTAAAAATAAAACCAAAAACTAAAGAAGACTGTTTATGTAACTATAAGACAAAACAACAAAGTTTTAAAAAGAGTAATAAACTTCTTGGTCTTGAGCTGATATTGGTTCCTTTATTACTCCTCAAGTTTTACCCAATCTCTTAAAAAATGTTTAATACACAACCTACTCTACAAAGCAGCAAACTGGGTATCTTTCTGATAGGAATGAATGGCTCAGATAAAATTTGAGTTTATAAAGAAAGATTTGTTTCAAACTTTATTATAGAGAAAGCTTTCACCCTTTCAGAAAGAAGAGCATTCACATAAGGTTTAAGAAATGAAAGCAGATGAACTTCACTATGTCCAAAAGATTACTCACTTTTGCATGTTTTCTTATCTGGATTAAGTCTAAACCCTTCTTGGCATCGACAGAAATAGGAATCATCTGTATTAACACATTCCTGTTCACAGCCATGGTCCTGAAGAGCACAGTAGTTTGGCCCTAAGTGGGAAGAACTCAGGTCATTGATAAATATAATTTCCCAGAAGTAGGCTAGGTAAAAACCACTTACCTAATTTTTCGTTCTTTAGGTACTTTTTTTTTCCATATGCACCATTTGTAACTTATTGTAACATACTGTTTCAAATTGTGAAAATAACATGTTCACCATCTAAAATGTCTGCTGATTTTGGGTATGCCAGATATACATACTTACATGAATTCTTGAAAAACACATGCACTACATGCAGTACAGAAATCAGAAAATCAAATATTTCTTAACATTTCGTGGCTCAGTCCTACACACTATCTCATCAGAACTGCCTTTTGATTTTACTCAGAGGAAGTTTGATATGATCTGTTACGTACTTACAAATTATTATTCCCAGAGATAATTAGCTTCCTGGAGAAAGAACTGTTCTTTTCTTGTATGTGTGGTGATCTAACGCAATTGAGCCTTTACACGTGTTGAAAGCATTCACCAATAAACCAAGCAGTAGCAGTGCCACAAATCCCCTTGTTAATTCAGTAGCTAGGAATTACCTCTGCCTTCCTCACCAACAGTCTGAGTTTACCGCTCTCTTCACACAGAGTAGTCTGCCAGTGTTGGCAGGAGTCCCCTAATGAGCTGTGCTCCTTTTATTTCATTCTGAAAAAACTGGAGTAAACCTCAGAAAAAATTTGTAAGACATGCATGACTGTGTGATAACATTTACATTTTCAAACTTTTCTTTGAAGCTATGAGCACTGAAGCTTACTTTCAATTTGTGAAAGAAAAAACAGGATTCTAAGAAAATCACAAGCTCTTGGGAGCTGCAGCCATTGGCCCTGGCCTGTTTACTGATACTGTGATCTGGTCTACCAAGGGGGTGGTGGAAAAGACAACTGATCTGATTATCAGGTCAGTGTCTATCACGGATGAAAATTCAGAGACTAAGAGAGATCCCTGATTACAGTTTATGATGCTAGAATAAGACTTTCAAAAAGTTTGAAAAGCTTGGCTCAAAGGACACCGTGACGGACCATTTGTTACATCTTTACTTACTAATGTTCGTTTGCTGTGGATTTTTTTCCCCCCAAACCAGCTTGTTATTTATTTTCAATGCTTCTAAGAGTTCATCTGCATTTCGCCCAATGCATTTGGAGCCCAAGATAATATTGGAAAGCGTTAGGGTCCTTAAAGGAACAGCCTATCACAGTACACCATGTATCACAGTACACCTACACAGTACACTGCTGGTGTCACTAGGACTATGACACTAGCTGAGTAGCACCTGTGATGGAAAGTCCCTTGGGATTTATGGTGAATGTGATCTTGAATTCAAGACATCAATGTAAATCACTGCAAATAAAGAAAACTTCACATTGGAACACACAAGTGAAGCACAGCAAGCAGAAATTACTATCGCTCCTCCTCTCAACACTGGTGAGGTCGCATTGATGTACATTGCTCTGGAACAGTACTTCCCCACACAGTTAAAGGCAGTAAATGCAAGAGGGCTCAACAAAAGCCTACTAGCATTGTCCAGGGCATTCTGCACATGACCTGTTCAGAGCACTTCAGGATTCTGATCTTACCTAGCCTGGTGAAGTGGAAGACTATGTCATTACAAAGGTAGTGGATCTAAACCTTTCTTGGTAGCGTCAGATGATAAAACAAGGATCACTGACTTGGGTGATTCAGGTTTGGCATGGGAAAAAGTTCTTCACTGGAAAGACAGACCAGCAGTGAAACTGGCTGCACAGACAGGTTGTGGATTCTCTATTGGAGCTTTCTGAGATTCAATTAGACAAAACTATAGTTGACCTCATCTTGTGGCAGCTCCACTTTAAAGAAAAGGCTGAAATAGATGACTTCCAGAGATTTTGTCCAACCAACATTTGAAAGCTTTAATGCTTGTAACACAAAAACAGCAGCACATGATCAGACTAAAGATCTATATAGCCCAGTGTCCCATCTCCACCAATAATTAAAGCAGAGGACAGAAATAGGATGAGTGGGAAATACTACTTTCACAGAACATTCTTTCAGCTTCCAGAGTCTATAGCTCATCAAGTTAAATAGGTTAAAACAATTAATAGGATCAGACAATAAGCTACAAACAACTCAAGACATAAAATATTATGTAAAAGATGCAGTTTGAAAGTCTTTGATCAATTCAAATTGGAAGAGAAAACACCGATTAAAATTCCTGATCTTAAATTGAAGGAATTTGCAAGAATTTTTGCCTGGGCAGTGGAATGCACTTACACTATACTAGATTTCCAAAACATGGATATGGAAGTATAAGAGAATTCAGCCAGCTCTTAGCTGACAGATATTTGACAAATGGGCTTCTTCATACAAACTACAAGCAACATGAACTGATTCCAAGTATAATCTGTCCCTTGGGGATGAAGTAAATTCATCTCTCTGAATTCTCTGATTGTTTATCTAGAAATCAGGTGTCTGGTCTGGCAAAACATGCAGCTCCCTATACAGTCAAGGAAAATACAGTAGAGGTATGACACCTTCTGGAAGTATGTCTCTTTTTCAGGATCATGAGGTCAGATGTACAGTTTGAATTAGACATTTTCTTTCTAAATATTAAGTGAAACAGGTATCAAGCTTAATGCCCAGAGCAATCTTCTCTTAAGATAAAGATGCCCTCTGTAAAAACACAGAAATACAGTGCTATATTTAGGATTTTTTTTTTTTTTTTTTTGAGAAAAAATAGTTCTTCTCATTATTAGATAACAGGCTAAATTTATCACTGGTGTCAGCAATTCCACTCACCTAAAAACTAATGAGGTTTTTCTAGCTATAAATGCAAAATAAGGTATAGTTACCATGGTCTGTCTTTACAAGAAAAAAAGTCAATTAGGACTGTATATCAAGGCTTTCCCTTCATACTTCCTGAAGTTCATTATTACATTAAACTCTATGGAGAACTAAGAGAAGCCTTGGCAAGAGTATTTTCTGGTCTGTATGTTTGCTTTCACTTTATATCTCTTCCAATACTGGTAACTTTGGAACTTGTTGGTCCAGTGCCAATTAAATTTGAGAAACGAGCAAACCTCTGAAGTTATTATAGCCTGGTAGAAACATGGAAGCTTTGTAGAATCATAGAATCATAGAATCACCAAGGTTGGAAAAGCCTTTCAAGATCATCCAGTCCAACCGTTCACCTATTCCCAGTAGCTCCCACAGCTACTAGAGGCACAGCTAGTAGAGGCTGCTCATATTCTCAGAGATACCTCTGGCATAAGGTATCAAAGAACACACTATGGAAGAAAATCCATAGGAAAATAGGCTGCAATGTCTCTTCTGATGTGGAACTATTCACTCTGTTTAATTTTAGCAGCCAAGATGATTACAAATCCTCTTGTACAGTCTTATTCACCTAGGTAGGGAGATGATACTCTAAATGAAAAATCTGGATAATCAAAGAGACTATGCAAGACAAGCTCAAACTATTGGAACAGGAGCCTGTTCATAGAAGGGGCCTCTACATCTACATCCTCTCCATAAAAACAAACTAATGCTCAAAACAGCTTTATTAACTTTTATGACATTTGGCTTCAAGGGCACTCTATCATTTTCTATACCCGACATACTATTCAGTGTTCCCAGGAACAATGAGAACTAGAAAGAAGGAGTACATACTGTTCATAATTAAACCTTATAATAACTTACTTCTGCAAGTTCTTTTGTCTGGATTTAAAATGAACCCTGGGTGGCATCTACAGTAATAAGAGTCCTCTGTGTTAACACATTCATGTTGGCAACCTTGATTATCCACAGCACAGTAGTCTACAACTGAAAAAGAACAAGAGTAACATTTATAATTAGAAATACAGAATCAGAACTATTATACATACAAATTATATACTAGTTACACACAGTAGCTACAAGAGAAGGAAAAGCTGACATAATTTTTGTCCAAAAGAGCCTTTCTGCAAAAAGCAGCGCACTTCAAATTAGATTTCACGAGTCCCACATTATTTCTCCTACTTTCTGAACATTTATCAACTCTGTCAGGAACTTTCTCACTGTGTTTTCTCAAATCTGGAAACCATGCCTCGCTCATTAGCTCTGTCCAGATCTTCATACTGTAGACCAGGAAGTTACAGAATTTATTTTATTTAGTTTTGTCTTCTGTATGTCCAGATCCAGCCCTGGTATTGCTCTGGTTTTCTTTAATTCCTTCCTAGCTCTATTAGTTATCAAGACCTGTCCCAGCAGCCTGAATACATGAGAGACTGATAGCAATACCTTCTACTTTGCTCCAGAATCATCCTGTAAAATCAGGCACAACTATGAAGCCTGAGAGCTTCAGCTGATTTTCACTGCTATTTTGCTTATACAATGCCATTTGTGGGAAAGAAATAAAACACTGTTATTCTAGTCACATATTTTTAAAGTCTGGTCATGTATTACACAAATGCGTATTTGCAAGATAGACTGCCAAAAGGGTATTAATGTAATACTTCAGAGTTTACTCAGACACACTCATATGAAAGCACTAAGGAAGTAAAATTAATTGTGTTTAATTTTGTTTTTTGCTTTATTTCTTTACAGGTTAAGCTGCTTCCTTACACTGAAGGCCCTAGAAGAAATCAAAGACAACTCACAAAGCAGGTGTCCTGCCCCCAAAAGCTGCCAGGCCCACTTCAGGCAAGTTTATTCAACTCTTAATGTATCTAACACAGATGTTTATTGAGACAGTTTCCCCATCTTTGCCAACTGAGTAATATTTTTTATGACTCTATACTCTATGCTGCTGACCCTCCCAAACTACTTCTAAGAGTCAGTAGTTTGTTTTAATTAAATAATTTTTTTCTCTGTAATAGGCTTCTCTCTGCAAACAATGCACACTCAGGTATACTAAGATACTGAAGGTCATCTAGTCAGGAAAGTAAATAACCTAGTTAGTTACCTAGAAAGAGCTTCTTTTAAGCCTCTGGAATACTTGAGCTGAATTAAGCCAAATTAGATTACTTACTGGCTACCATGTGAAAACATTTTCCTGGCAAGTAGCTTCCTGTTTCCACACCAAATAGCATCATATAAAAACATATTTGCTGAGTATCTACTACAAGGATCTAAAGTGTTATATAATTAGTCAGATTTCCTCTTAAATTCTAACCAAATGCACATTTTCAAGTGTTTTAGAAGACACATTAGCAAATAAGTACACAAAAAAATACATAATCTTTTTTCTATACATCATCATCCCTAAGAAGCAGTCCATATAAATCACTTCCACTTTGCATTTAAACTTCAGTAAACATGCAGTTCTGCCAAAATACCTGTAACTGCCCAACTAATGATTAGGAAGTTGAGAGGTCAAAATAGGTCAACTAGTCTTAGAATCCTTCATGAGCAACACTGTTTTGGAGATGCATATTTATCTTTCCACTCCCTCCCTGAGCCCTTATTCCACACAGGCTTGGCCTTGCAGAGTGGCATTATTAATCTGCCTACAATTTAATTTCACTTTCAGCTTCACATTTCATTTTGGTAGCCCTTGCTTAGAAGTGAAACTTGCCAACAGGCTGTCAATCAGCAAGTAAGCTGCCAGTGAACTTACATCTTCCTTAAAAAAATTGGGAAGAATTATAAACTTACATATCATATACTGAAGCACTGTAACCTACTGTAAATATACAAAATCTATAAAAGACCAATGCAGAATGATATTCTCCTCATTTTTGTTAAGTCTTACTATTTTCTCATTTCTGTACTGTCAAGATATTGAAACCAGAATGTTAACGCTTAATGTTAACCATGACTGCTTCAATATAATCTTTTTCTTAAAAGAATGACAGTAGTATTTTGCACAAGCAAGCAATGAATCCAGTTGTCATTTCCCCTGATTTGCTCCACCATGTTTTTCTTGCTTAGAAGTAGTTACCAAGACTGTGAGAGCCGTCTTTCGCTTCCAGTTACCAGTTCTGCACTCTGGCTGCTCATGTTGTCCTCTCTGGTCTGCAGGCAGCACAGATCACCCTTCTCTGCTATTGCTGTATCACTACTAATGTCTACATAGGTTTTTAGTCTTAAGAGAATGAAATATGTTAGGAAAAAGGGTGGAATAAACCCCAGGAAGAAATGGTAACGTTAAGTTAGAAGAATGAAAAATAAAGTGAGGAAGGAGAAAAGGAGACTAATGGAAGACCAGTTAACGCCTAGAAACAAGCGAAAAAATGTGTCAGTGCCAGGACTGCAGACAGGTGCCAGCAGCCAAATCACTGCCAGGTGAAGAGAGCCCGAGCCCAACAGCTGCAGCAGCATTGCAGACAGTCCACTGGTGCCAGGAAAGACAGCAACACCAAGAAGATGGAGAGAGTGGGACTAATACTGAGAAGACTGCCTGCTCAGCAGCATAATGGAGAAAGTAGGGCTCATCTCCACCATACTAGAACTGACAGGATTTTGGTCATATAAAAGACAGCTAACTGAAAAGCTGCTTAAAAAGGCAGACGATGCTGCTCTACTAGCCACAATTACTGCTGAAAATACTGCTTAATCTACACATTTTTCACAAATTTGCATGTCCATTCAGTGGCCGCTTTAAATGGATGCACTGTAATCTCCTGTTGTGAGATTTTATTTACTTATTGCCATCCAGGTAAATGTCTGACAGCTTTGTGGATAAAACAATTAACATGGCCTTTGGTCCTTAAATAGAAAAATTAGCCCCTCAGAGAACAGGAAAAGAACAAAATAGTAGTAACAGCTCATGGCACTAAGTACGAATATATCAGATGAAAATATATGGTAAAAAGAACCACGGATACAAGAACCTGCCAAGAGAAGTCATGAATTTTCATGTTATCTTTCATGTTATTCTAACTCAAAAAAAAAAAAATTAAAACCTCCTTTTTGTGTCCCAAGTGAAATGCAAGTGGAATTTTCAATTTCGTACATAAATTGTATCTATTTTGCACCTCAAAATAGGATTATTCTGCAAGATAATCACTCTATGAAAGTAATAAAAGAGAGACTGTATTACATTAGAGTTCTTAAAAAAGCCAAACAAACAAGAAAGTGTAAATTGTTGGAAGCTGGTTTTCCTGGTAATTTGTGGTGGCCTATGGCAAAACTTGGGGCCAAGCATTCAACTTGGATTTACTTCCATGGAAACTCAGCATGTGCTTGAAATTAAGCACGAATTTAAGTGCTTGCCTGAAGAGAATACCTAACAAATTAAACATTTTTTCTTTAAAGACTCTCTAGGTTATTATGTATGAGTGTGTGCTTGTGTGCATGAGTGTGAGTGCATGCATTTGATTCTAGAAGATAATATTTTCCTGAAATGTGTGGGATGTATGAGAAGGGTGACAGCCTAACTAGAACATTTGAAAAATATTTACTGTGTATTAATGAGGAAGAAGTAAGAAGTGAGATACATGTACGGTAATAATGTTTTCCTTGAAAAATTGTTATATTACATATCACGTCAGTACAATGTTGGTCACCTGCATGGATATACAGTAAAACATTACGTACATAGTTCCAAGTCAATAGTGTTACTTGCTGTGTGAAATTATAGGCAAAGGCTTAAAAACATGCCAACATACATTCTTCTATCTTTATCACTCGTGAGAGAGGAGAGCTTCCCATCATTATCAGGTCTAAACTGGTCATTACTTTACATTCGACCTCTTTGGTTTGTTTCAAGAGATAAACACAAATGGCTAAGCTCATACTCACCAACACAATTCTTTCCATCTGCATCAAGCTCATACCCTTCATAACACTGACAGACATAAGACCCAGGCGTGTTCACACAAATGTGCTCACAGTTATGCTTCTCCACAGCACACAGGTCTTGAGCTACAAGGCAGAATGGCACAAATATGAAGTTCTTCGACCTTCTATATTGCACAGGTTGACTATAGATTGAAAATAAATTTCAGGAAGCTATGAAGAGCTCTTTAGAATTGAGCTCATTTTAGCACAGAACATGCCAATATTCTGTCAAAGAAAATGAAAATGAAAAGATTCATGAACATTTAATTTCTGAGTTTTATCATTTTTCTGTTTCATGCAAAATACAAGTTACCCCTCCCAACAACAAGTCTCAGTAGCAAAATTACTACAGCAAACAAGGTCAGTTCAGTTCCTGGTGTAATGAAGCACAATTGTCTGCCTTTAACACAGACCAAAAAGAGTGGCTTTCTGAGAATCCCAAGTTTCCCCAGTGAAATCCCTGGAAGGCAGAGTACTTTGTGTTGCTCAGGATCAGGCCTGGAAACTGCTCAACACATAATTATAATTTACAGCTACAAAAAAAAAACCACGTTCTGGAACATGTTTAAGGACATTAGCCAAACAAATACTAATTTTATTTTATAGCTCTCTGCTTCATATCATGTGGCATGATGAACAGCATAAACAGTAATTTAACTCTCTTGTTCCAATATAAACATCCAAAAATAAGTAATTTTTTTCAGTCATATATGCTCTTTTGTACTATTTTGTGTATTAACATAAGATTTGAGTGTAACTACAGAAGAATGAAAGATATGAAACTAAACAAGCAGTGCAATGAGTATAGAACAGCCATTATCTGCCATAGCCACTTTTCTCTAGAAAAGTTAGACCAGATTTGGTGAAAGGAGCAAAAAAGAGGTTTTCATCCTTGCATGAATACAAAACCACCTCAATGATTTCCATCTTTTGCATGGATGCAAAACCATCTAAATAAAAAAAAAACATCACAAATGCAAGAACATTTTATGTTGAGCAAAGGAACATTTTTTTCCGGATTTTGTTCTGGAAGATAGGTGAGTTGAACTTTTTTTTTTTTCCTTTCGTGTGGAATGCAACAAATCACAAATACAGCACTTTTTTTTCTTTCATAGAATCATGGAATCACAAGGTTGGGAAGGACCTACAAGACCATCTAGTGCAACTGTTCTCCCACTACCACTGCTACCACAAGCACTAAACCATCTCCCGTAGCTCCTCATCCAGACGCCTCTTGAACACTGCCAGGGATGGCGACTCCACCACCTCCCTGGGCAGCCATTCCAGTGCCTGACCATTCTCTGAGAAAAAAAAAGAGAGAAAATGTTTTTCCTTATGTCTAACCTAAATCTCCTCTGGTACAACTTGTGGCCATTTCCTCGGGTCCTGTTTGTGGCCTAGGAAAAGAGGCCAAACCCCTCCTCATCACAGCCTCACTTCAGGAAGTTGTAGACGAGGTCTCTCCTGAGCCTCCTCTTCTCCAGACTGAACAATCCCAGCTCCCTCAGACACCCCTCGTAAGACTCCAGACCCCTCACCAGTTTCAAAGTACTTCTCTGGACACATTCCAGGGCCTCAATGTCCTTCTTGTAGTGAGAGACCCAAAACTGAACACAGTACTCAATGTGTGGCCTCACTACTGCTGAATACAGGGGGAAGGACTTCCACGCAGAACTGAAATGCATTAAGTAACAAAACTACCATCCACTCAAAAGAGGAATGCCCTTCTTCAGCCTGGAGCAAAGCTGTTAATTCACTGCTGATTTAAGTCATTTGGCTAAGGGCTTGTAAGAACTGAACAGTTACATGCTGTACTCTCACAACATAAAAAAGAGTTCCAAAAGTTGAAAAGAATATATATTTATGTTCACACAGTTCATTTTTTATTCACTGTTTAATTTAGTAAGTATTAAAATATACATGTGAGGAAACTGTTCACGAACGAGCTAAGAAGTACACTCAAAACTTAGATAAATATATCTGTTTTATGTTGATCATGTACTGCACTAAACATCAATATAATGCAGATTTATTTTACTTAGAGGTCAAGTGAAGAACATGTTGTCCCTGTGCATGGGTGAAAAATAACTTCAAAAGTAACATGGTCACAGACTTCGGGTTCTTCTATCACTACTGCTCAGCATCATTCCAAAAACAAGCAGCCCAGTTTCTCCAGCTTTGGTCCCCTTTACTCATGAATTCTGTTATTTCTCTGAGCTTTTATACTGTTTTAATTAATATAAACTATTTATATGATTTATAGTCTAATCTTAGATTTTGAGTGCGATTGTCAAAACTAGTTTATAGTTCGGTAATGTAGAACAATAGGCTACAAATACATGGAATGACTTGTGTCCCTTTCATATTTAGCAAACTTAGATCTACTACCATCTGGTTGATGATCAAAACAAGTACATAGTCGAGCATATCATGTGTGATAGATAAATAGGGAAAACTGTGTCATAACAAATTTTTTTTAAAATGAATAGTAAAGCAGTGAATTGTAAAAGTTGTATAAAAGCAACACATGCTACCATGCATAGGCCATCAGGAGGAAAACTCCATATCATTCCAAAACTGTCTTAAAAATTAATCTGTAATTCGCAGCAGTGCAGTGAGCATAAGCTGAACTACTGGCTAATGAAAACAATGAAAATATAACACAATACAACAGAAGACACAATAAACTATTTTTCATACTCGCAATTAAAATTTTTTCTATTTTGTACCCTTAGTTGAACCAAATTTATTTTCCAGTTTTAGCAGTATTATTCTCTGAATTCAATTGTCTAAACTGATGTTAGGGGTGAGGACGGAAAAAAATGTGTAAGAAGAAATTTTAAGAAAGGAGAGATTTTGTATTTTAAGTAAATTCCAGAACAATGATGAAAGAAATAGATACAAAACTCCTAAATGAGAAGAACTTTAAAAGGGGAAAAACGGGAAGAAGTAGTTAGGGAAGATTACTGAAATATGATTGAAGAGTTGGAGCCTTCATTTGGGATTCCAACCACTCATTTTGGAAGTACAAATACATGGAAGAATAGAGAATAGGCTGTCTAAAAACTGTTCTTGTCACTATTCTTGTTTGGCTCAGCTGCTAAACCAAGCAATAATTAGGAAATATTTCAGATTACATTTAATTTTTTTGCTTCTTCTTAAAGAAGCAAAAGCCGGAATAAACATACAAATAAATGTTGAATAAATTGTGGAAAACACAAAACATAATTCAGACAGCTGTGTATGACATATATCTACATTTTATAAGGGATGCTGGTGAGAAGGGCAAATAAAACAATGATTCCTCAAACTAGCTCATCCCCTGGCTCAACACTATAATAGGTGAACAATTCAAAAGCAATTTCCTCCTACAACCCAAAGAATCTGAACTTGTCTCCATACACCAGCAAAATTCACCATACAATTTCAGCACTGACATCTTCTGGACCCCGTATCTAGTTGCTGAGGCTCTGACTAAAACTGTGTCCCACTACAGATGTAAAAGTCTAATAGTCAATCTGCGGAGTCCTCTCAGACACTGACATATTCCCATTGTTTCAGTCATCACAAAGGAGACAAAGAACCCCTTAATTCCAAACTACTTAAGATGTTGAGATACAAGGGCAGGATCTGAGCTTGCATCCTTCCCCTCATCTCTAAATCATGTATTGTGAGGGGGACATCCTTTGCCCTCACCATGATGGCTTTCTCATCTCTTTCAAATGACATTTTTCAAAATAATTCTTGCAACTAAAATCGGTTTGGCAAATCTGCTTTGAATCCATGGAGTTCTGTGGGGTAAGGAACTGCATTTTTAGCAAGTGTATTTTTCACAAGTGATAAAACTTATTACCTCACAATTAATTCAAAATAATTGTGGATAGAGAAATAAATTTGGCACGTCTTTCTCATGTAATCTGCTGTTAATTATGAGGATGCAAGACAAAATGGACAAAAGAAATACTACTTACAAAGATCACAATTAAACTGTAATATGTTACTATGAATTATACAGTTAAAGCCAATTGCTTAAAAGCAAACAATTTTTTATAGAACAAATGAGAGCACAAGGACTTTTGAAACTCTCTTCTGAAAGATTTTAAGGTTGTATTTCCTGCAGAGTTTATAAAGTTTTCCAGAATGGCAAGTTACGTCCCAGTTTTGTAGTATGTGGTTTATTGTCCCTTACTGTGCCACTCAGGAAAAGCAACCAGTATCTAGACAGGTTACTAAATTAGTTGTGATCATTTAATACGAGATGATGAAACAGTTCTTTCTTTGATCGTTGCTTCATTCTTGAACTTATTACATCAATAAACTCAAATGCAACTTTATGTAGCTACAGTGCACTAATGCTTGATACTTAGCTTGAAGTATTTGACAAAGGTTTGCAAGAACTTCATTAAAAAAAAACACACAAAATACTACTTCACCTTTTTAGACTCTTTGTGATTACCTATAATTACACAATGAGTTCAGATCTTCTTTATGAACCCAACTCAAACCACTGACATTAAGTGCTTTTGAGTGGCACAAGAAAGAATAGTTTAGAAAGATAACATACTGCTGCAAGTCTTCTGGTCAGCGTTCAGGATGTAACCTTGTTTACATCTGCATACATAGGAGCCTGGGGTATTTATGCAGAAATGATCACAGCGATGCTCAGCTATATTGCACATATGGGGCACTGAAAGAAAAAAGTAAGAAGTTATTAATGACTGGACTTGTTTATTTGTTGTTACAAATGGTTTAAAATACTTTACTGAAGTCATTTAAAAAACCTGAGTTAAATTTCAACAGTCAAGACAAAAATGGAAGCTTAAGCCTACAGTTGAGTATAGAAAAAACCCTTACCAAACAGAATTATACTTTTATTTGTAATAAAAATAGGACTTTATATATAATCTGTCTGGTTGACAATGGCGACATCATTTTGGACATTACTTATGAAGAGCATTTGAAATTACTTATGGAAGAGAGATATAAACAACAAAAAATTACAATAGAGCATCTGGAAACACTAATTACTTATTGGTTCCATGAAAACAATGAAACAGGCACCACATTCAAATTTAGAAATAAGTGTAATTTAATTACAAATTGTTCTAGAGAACATTTAATTTCCTGAATGAAGTACCCTACAGCTCAACACTAAGAAAGAATGATTGATTGGAAAAAAAATACCTGATGAAGAATCTTGTTTGCCAGTTTATCAATTTTGAGGAATGTCTGGACAAGATATGACTACAGTGAAGCCAAGCATCTCTGAAACTCAATAAGAGGAAGCTGAGCTGAGCTACACTCTAGAGTATAACTGTTCCTGAGCCTATTTTTTTTTAATCTGCTCATATTTTATGTCTCTAATAGCAAATAGTAAAATGCAACAGACTGTGACAGGAAGAAAAAAAAAGCAGGTCTATTCTGCCAAATTCATTACCTAGCTATTATTTTTTCCCATATCAGATTTTCTGTGGGGAAGTAATGAATCTCATTGACTTTTTTCTTCCACTGTTGGTATGTCATTCCTATAATATACAGGTGAATTGTTCTCAGAGAATAATGTGTGGAAAATAATCTGCTTTTTTCTCAAGGACAATTAGGGACCGATGTGCTCATTATACTGCTAGGCTGGCAAACATCAAATTTATGGAATAGATATTCAACAGTAATTTTCTAGCAGCCACCATAAAAGCCTAATAAATAACTTCACATGTAATAGGCATGGAACATCTGCGGAAAAAAAAATAGTGTTTTTACAATACATACTATTTATTGAGTCTTTGGAACAGTTACCAAAGTTATGCATTTATTGCTAATACAGAAACCACAATTCCCAAATCTCTTAAACAGCTTATTTGAACTCATTGTCTGCCATAACAAAACAAGTGATTTTATCTTTGTGAATGCACACCTGCTGGTATTACTGGTCTATTCATTCTTCTGTCTTTCTAAAAGTAAAGTTCATGATCTCTGATGCTTTCTAAACATAAGTTTCATCCTGGCTATATTTCACTAGTTTGCAACATCAGGTACAGTTTGTTATGACCAAAGAGGCACTTAAAATATGACAAAAACATAAAAATGTCAACAGTTTACATATAAAAAAATCTCACCATATTAATCCATAATATTCCTCCAAGAATAATCCTCCAAAAACATTCAGACCTCCACTATCAAATCTTATACAGTGGAGGAAAAAAAAAAAAAAGCATCCCGAGCAACTGAGTTCATTCTGAGAATATATCGCTGCTACTTGTTACCAACTTCACATATCAATTATTTTTTTTTTTCTGTGCTGAAATAGGCTGTTGTATGCTCAACTTCTGCCTGACTTCTTGTAGGAACTGTCTGGTGGACAAAATAAGAGACTGAAATAATAGAAAGAATTGTATGGTTTTGGAATTTGAATGTGAGCCTTCTGAATTAGGTTTTATCCCCACCTTTGCCACAGGTTCCCTATTTGACTTTAGACAAGTCAATAATATCAGTATCTTCAAGGACACATCAATGTTCACACACTGTGCTTTCAGCTAGAAGTACTTGCAACTAGATTTGCAAGAATGCAGGGCTCTCAGCTGCAAGTAATGGGTGTAGAGTTGTGGCTGATATACTCCATCATGCTAAAAGTGCTCCAGAAAATCAGACCATTGAGTGCACTTAAAGTTTTATAGTGGACAATGCTGACAGTTTTAGCCCTGATTCTGTGGTTTTGTTCCTCAAGCATAAAATAAGGATGACACCACACTCTATGTTAGGAGGATAAAAAAGACTACTTGCTTCTGACTGCTCCAGCCCAACTTCTTTGTCTTTCTCGCTTTTCTTCTATTTAATCTCCATCTGTTTTCCTGGATTCTATCTCTAATTCCATTTCCTTTCTAAGTTTTCATCTCATCTCACTCCTCTTGCTTCTGATTTCCCAAGACATTGCTTCTTCCTAATTTACCTTGCTGACTGGCAATAGAAAGAGGTCCATGGGATGCCCTGGCCTGAACTATTGTATCTGGCACCACTGAACCTTTAGAAGCCAGATGCAGAAACCACAGGGAAAGCCCGCACAGTTTAAATGGATTCTTCTGAGAATTTAATTGCTAAGGACTGGGAAATCCCTGATAGGGTAACTATGGCTAATTCATTTTACTTTTTACCTTGCCCACACAGCTTCATCATTTGGCAAAATTATTCTCTTAACTTCATAAGAACCATTAATACATAGACATAAGGACAGTCCAAACACAACTGAAGAGTCCAGTTCTTTTCCCAAGGCATAAAGCCTAGCAGATTGCGACCATAGGGGTGCCTTGAATTGATTCAGGAAAGAACCAAGGTGTCCAAGGTACAATTTTCTCTTAACAGCAAGTTGAATCTAGTCAGCAGTGTGTCCCAGCAGCCTAAAGGGCCAACTGTACCCTGCAGTGCAACAGCCAAGCACTGCCAGCAGGCGAGGGGAGGACTTGTTCCACTCTGCTCTGTGCTGTGCAGCCTCATCTCGAGCACTGGGCATGGATTTGAGCACCAAGATACAAAAAGGACATAAAACCAATAGAGAGCACCCAAAGGAGAGCAGTGAAGATAGGGAAGGCAAGACATACAAGGAGCGCTGAGGTCCCTTGGTCTGTGCAGCCCACAGCACCTCGAGGAGCTGAAGAGAGGCCTGATGGCAGCTGCAGCTCCTCACAGGGAGCAGAGGGGCAGCGACAGGGCCTGAGGGAACGGCATGGAGCTGCGTCAGGGGAGGGGCGGGTTAAATGGTGGGAAAAGATTCTTCACCAGAGGGAGGTGGACACTGAAACAGGCTTCCCAGGGCAGCAGGGCCGGTCCTGAGCTGCTGGAGTTCATGAAATGTCTGGACAACACTCTCCTTTTAGTCAAACGTTTGAACTCTGGGTGGAGCTGTGTGAAGCAAAGAGATGGACTTCACAGTCCTTGTGCGTTCCTTCCAACTTGGGGTATTCTATGATTCTATGAAATTCAGCAAGCTGAACGCTCTTCACAGCCCACACTCAACAAAACATTACAGATCCTATCTAACATGATGTAGTCCTTTAAGTTGAAATCCACAGAATGCTGGCACCTTAAGTTCTTTGTTGAACTTGGATTTGTAAGTGGTTGTTTTGTATCTCACCTTCAGCTCTTGAAACAGCAAATGTTGTGGAGGCATTCCCTTAGAAAGGGAGGCAGCAGCAATCCTTGTGACCTCCATACTCCTCCATCTGCAGGGTGAATGGTTTTATTGAGGATCACGTCTATTTGGATTAAAGGTGATCTACAAAACTTTAATACATTTACTGGGCACTGCTTAGTCAGGAAAAAAAAAAAGGAATAAATAGTACTTGTACTGGATTTGTTTCTAAAATGCTATTAAAAATCCAATAAAATTGAATTTTATATCATTTGCTATCTGTTCCATTTAAGCTCTCAATTCATGCTTAGTTTGCTTTCTTTGTTGTTTTTTTAAATGTACATTATGCCAGAAAATAATATGGCAAGTTAAAAACAGGAAAAAAAATCAATGATGTGATGATTGTCTGTGATGGTGTCTTGTGCTGATGCAGTTCAGCTGGAGCTCTGTTGCTCTTTGAAACAATTCTGGAAAATACCACGTAATGAAAATTCTCCAGGCTATCTTGACAATAAGCCTCAGTTCTTTCCTGGCAAAAGCATCCCTAGAGATGATTGAGCATTCAATATCATCATGTATTCATTTTCTGGACTCTGCTGTAAATACTTCACTTTCATGCCAAATCTCTATGAAGATCCTTCAAACTTATCTCAGGAAAAACTAAAATTATATTGAGTACCCAGACTGGAGTAAAATAAGTGATGCATGACACTGTATTTGTAAAGGGTATTTTTTTTATCTGGGAATTGCAGATGGAAATGATTTCTCTATTGTAAATTAATATCCATTAAGATATTATTTACTTTATGGAATGAATGAAAATCATGGTAACAGCTTTTCCTAATTTCTTGTATTTAAAATGGATAGAATACAAATACTATAACATAATTGTACAGTTACGCCTCTTCCAGTCACAAGGCATTCTACAAGATAATTGTTTGTATTTAGTTAATACAGATTTGGGTGAGGAATACCACAGAATCTTTTTAATAGCCAACAACCAATAGTAACTTTTATCAGTCTGAAGTTTCACTACTAAAGGAAATCACTTTTAAAATCAGTAAATTAAACAACTTATCTAAAACAGAAGTGAATAGGAAAATCATGTATGTATGTTTGCCTTGCTGCTTACGATCACTAGGAATAATATTTTATGGCACTGAGCAGTAGAATGAGCTTTTCCCCATATGTATAATTGTTGTTCTGAATACTGTTGAGCTAGTTTCCCTTTTTTTTCCAATGTACATTTTCTAACAGATTAGGTTCCATATTAAAAAAAAAACTAATGACAATACATGACTTTTTTTTTTTCCCTTTTACTTTCATCTATGCATTCAAACCAATATATAAAAACCTTACCACAAAGTTTAGTCTGGAAGACGGAGGTCAGCGTTTCAATCTGACTGAAATTAGCAACTAGAAAGATGTGCTCTTCGTGTGGCTCACTCCCAATGGACTTGAGTGTGTTCATATCCACTCTTCCCACTCCAATGGCGAAAATCAGAATTCCAGAGTTGCGAGCTTTAGCAGCAATTTCTGCCACCGGATCCTGTGGTCTCCCATCTGTCACTATCATGATAATGCGAGGCACATTTTGGTTCAAAGGTCGAGCCCCTTCTGACTCTGAAAACGCAATGTTCACAGCATACTGGATAGCCAGTCCGGTCATGGTGCCGGTCGCCAGGTGCATCATTCTCCTCACTGCTCTCTCAATCTCCTGTTTCCTTCTGAACGTCTTCAGTGAGAACTCATGTTTGACAGTGCTGCCATACTGAATCAGGCCTACTCGAGTGGCATCAGGACTGATGTCCAGGAACTGCAAGATTGTTAAAATGAACTCTTTCACTTTTTCAAAGTCATACGGACGTACACTGCGAGAGCTATCAATGATGAAGACAAGGTCCAGACGTTTGTTGTTGCAAGTATTTTCTAGAAGACAAAATGAAACAAAAATACAAGAATTTTCAAATGCAGATCGGATTGCTTTGACCTGAAGTGTCAAAAATTGTCCCTCTCTACTCTGCCCTTATGAGGCTCCATCTGAAGTAGTACAGGTCTGGAGGCCCTAGCACTGGAAAGATACTGAGTTTTTCAGGAGGGCCCAGAGGAGGGCCAGAAAGATGATCATAGGGCTGGCACACCTCTCCTATGAAAACAGGCTGAGAGAGCTGGGCTCGTACACTGGAGAAAAAGCTACGAGGAGACCTCATGATGGCCCTCCAATATTTAAAGGGGCATTATAAACAAGAGGGAAATCAACTTTTTACATGGGTAGATAACAATAGGACAAGGGGAAAGGGTTTTAAACTACAGGAGGGAAGATTTATGTTAGATGTCAGGGGGAAGTATTTCACTGAGAGGGTGGTGAGGTGCTGAAATACACTGCCCAGAAATGTTGTGGATGCCCCATCCCTAGAGGTGTTCAAAGCCAGGTGGGGTCCTGGGCAACCCAATCAAGTATTTGACCTAGCAGTTGGCAACCTGCAGCCAGGGGGTTGGAACCTGATAATCCTTGAGGTCTCTTCCAACACAAGTCATTCTATGATTCTGGGAAAGATGCTAAGTTAATACCCTGCCAGGAGTTGGAAAGATACAGGAAAAAAAAAAACAGGAAATGCTATAACTAATGCTACTTGGGTAATCCAAATGTGGTTTCTGGTTAATGACAGTATCTGCCTGTTACATGATCAGTAGATTAGTGTTTTGTGAGATTAATGCTCAGGATGGGCAATGTTGAGATTTTGAACGCATACCCCACACACGATGGAAATCCTCTCTGAATAACATATTTACTATTTTAGTGGGCTGCACCTTAATGCTTTTTGTTGTAGGGCCTGAGAATTCAGAAATCCTAATCAGATAACAGGTAGTACTAGTCTTCCTTTCAAACAAGGAAACAGCCACAGAGAAATACAGGTCAAAAGTATCTGCTAATTGGAGTGACTGAGATACAAAGGAACTGATTTTTCATGGAACTTGGCATTAAAGAGCACTTTGCATGTACAAAGTACAGCTCTCAGTGACGTCAACTGCAGCTGTGAGCGCTCAGCACTTCTGCAAATCATACCCCATGATTTCAAACACATAATTAATGGCCATCTGGGAAAAGTGTAGTCTACTGGACTAGCTCAGCGTCACACAGAAATTCTGGGGCTGCATGAGAGATAAAATCCACTTTTCTACAATGGCATTCATTTTGGAAAAAGAGACCGCCCATACACTTCCTGTCATTTTCTCTTTCAGTTGTCAACATTGCCTTTTTTTCTTTTTTCCAAGAGCCAGAAATACCACAGTGTATGGCTGTATCTGAAAACTGCATAGGCAGTCAGACCAAACTATCACAGGTAGCAACAATCATGGCTGCCTTCTGGGCATGCTACAAGCTTTCAAAAGCCCCGGGTACACTCAATGACTCCTGCTCAGATTCCAGTGCAGTCACACGCACATGAGAACAGATAAGGATTAACCATTTGCTCATTTTGCAGAAAGTCAGCACAGGTAGGCTTGAAGCAAGCAGGGGGATATGAGCTCTGAACCTTGCTACAGAAGGCTGTGTATGGTAAAAGTTCAAAAGGAATGTGAAGGACTTAATAGGATGCCGGTGATGAGAAATCAACTGAAGTTTAATAGAACAATTAAAGGTAGCAAGAATCCTCATCGAACTACAGAAGAAGTCTCCCCTCGCTTAGCTGAGATAACTCTAACCAGAAACCTCCCTTTCTGTGCAACTCAAGTTCCCAGAGCACTCTTATCCAACAGGGCATTGAATCAGGCAAATGCCCTGCGGAAAAAGTAGTTGTTTGATTGTATAATTAAAGGTCATGTCATACAGCACAAGTACAAGTGGGCCAATCAAAGACTCGACTGGAACAGCATCTGTCTTCAGACAAGCCTTTACTTGCTTGTGACTGCTGATGAATGCTAACCATGTATCCCTGCCAAGGAAAGGGGTGAGAAGGATGCCTATTTTCACTTGCTAACTCAGAAGCCTCTTTCATGGATTACCAAGAAAGTCTGTAGGCATAGAATAAAAATGCTCTTTGCTGACAATAAAAATGACCGTCTGGGTTTATTCATGTGCAGTCTAAAGTATGGCTTTATTCATAAGCGTAGGAATATGCTCAAGTTGCTTAGTCTTTCAAAATCAGAGGATGTTGAGTGCAAGCCAAACTGAGCAGAATAAAACTTCAGTTCTAATGGAATACAGATATCCTGACCGCTATCTTCCAACTCATGAGGTCAATTGTGTATCTATACACAATTGTATTTGTAATTGTGTAACTATTAATTACTCTTACTAATATTCCAGAAGAATTGTAATGTAAAGATAACACTGAAATAACATTTAAGCGAGCAGGACAGGGTGAAAAAGTTAATTACAGAAAGAAGTCTAAGTGTTTATGAAGGGATAGACAGGGTAGGGAGAAGGGTAAAATCACTGCTATTTTACTTTCCATAAAAATGAGAGCCTTCCTGTTGAATGCTTTTGAATTTCAGGGAGGATTTTTTATTTGAATATATAGATTTGGATCCCAGCCTGAAGAAACTCAATTTCTTATTTCGAAGTAGCCTATGAAAAAGGGAGGGAAGAAATCTGGATAGCATTACTGGACAGTGCTACAAGAAATAAAGCCCATTTTGCTAAATTACTTGTGCAGAAAAATATAGTAAGTGGGTTACTTTGAAAGTAATGCCTCCTATTTAGTTCCATGGAAACTACAACAGAAGCAAACAGCACAATAACACAGTCTAATAGAGCAATGTCTCAGCTACAAAGCACTGGTTTTCATCACAGACATGACCACTAGCCTATCTGTGCAGATGAGCTGATCAAGACGAACTTCATTTAGTGGTATGACAGCTGTACATGGCCATCCAGAATATGGCTTGTCTTTCACACTGCTGTCACCACTGCTGAAACGCACTGCCCGCTGCCTCAGTGTGCCCACATCAACTTTTTGATCTCCTCAGTAATTGTTCAGCAAATGGCAATAAATGTCAATGAGTGCAATTTTTTTTTTGCAAAGAGGAATTCAACCACACACCTTTACTTCACACACTCTTCCACGTCAGACACCATTCCACCAAACTGCCCCTCTGCTGCCATCTGTCACACAGCAACAACATGGAACGGAATACTGGAGGGAAGACGCAGCCTCTAATGCCATACCAACACCTGCCTCAGATATTGTGGGTAGGCAGTATTACTTTCAAAGCAGTCCTTGTATATTTCTGAATTACTTCTGCTAGAAAAATCCCGCCTATAGAAATGTCAAGCATTTCAAAACAAAAAAAATCTTTAAAGTCTCTGTCTTGTTTTGGATGTTCTTAATAACCTTATAATTATTAATGGCGATTCAGTCCACCCAGGTTCCATAAAACTCAGTGTAAATCTTTCACCAAGCAAAACTCCAGCTGGATGGTACTTTGAGGAGTGGCAATCAGTAATAGCTAACAGATGAACACTAACCCCCTCAGATAAACTTTCCATGCTACTTTTAAGAAGTTTCACAGATTCACACTTGCCCTGTAAACCATAATCTCTTCCTCCTACCAGTTCTTATGTTTAAACAAAAACATTTTCACAACTTTGGCAAATGTCTTCAAATCCCAATGAAATGCCTTTCTACTCTCCTTCTGAAAAGTGACACATTCATTGAAAAGAGCTACTCATCCAGAAACCAACACCAAAGTCAGCAAAGATTTTGAGTTGACCATAGAGAAGTTTTAAAAATAAATAAATAAATAAAGCAAAAGCCCTGAAAGTGTGAACTACATTATCCAAAACTTCAAGGCCAGGTCAAGAGTAGATGTGTTCTTCTCCACTCAATATCCAGTTTGTCTAAAAATGAGTTACTGTCATACCACCTCTGCAAAATGAACAATGGTTCTCACTTAATGAATCCAGCTGGGATCCACTCCAGTAGGAGGGAGTATTCCTGGGCATAGGAACTGAATCTTCTATGCTGCTGAAAGATTAGAATGGTTCCTGGTACTGTTTTGCCTGGGAGATTAACATTTTTTCAAATAATACTCAGGCACGATATGGGAATAAGCATGAGCCAGGGTCCCATCCTAACAGGCAATATGGACGCAAGCACTCTGCAAGCTTAGTATCCATCAGTCAATAGTATCAATGCAGGCTGTGTTATCTCACTGGTCTCAGTGCCAGAGAGCAGCCTATGATACACATTAAGCTGCACTCACAACACTAAATTCACTTTCCCACTACAGCACTACGCCTCCTGGGAATAAGCCCTGATCCCCCATAACCTTTGCACCACACATGGGAATTGTTTGGGGAGTGCCAATCAACATGTGCCAGAGTCTGCTCTAGCAATTAAACAATTGGATTCCCAATGCCCAGGAATGTCCCCAGTGCTATTTTATTCATCGAACATTTCCATTTTGGGATATTCAAACTGAACATATTCAAAGAACCCAAGTTTTAGATTATGATTTTTTTAAAAGTTTTTTGCAGGCCAAATCCCTCAAAAAGTTTGGTTAGAATGGAATTACTTATTTCCTATTGTTGTCCTGAATCTGCATGATGCTATAACGCATTTTGTAATATGGATAAAACCTATTTGATAATGTGGATCTTTATCCTAACAAATGAGACAGATAACTGTTAAAGACAGTTTGCACGCAAAGCAAAAGGAGGTTATCTCCATTTCTTAAGTACTACAGCAATTTTAAGATATTTAGATAATAAAAAAAACTGAGTTATAACAAAATACTCGTCCCACAAAGACTTTTGTTATAAATTAAGACAACTTAAGCAAAAAGGAAAGATGAGATCAGTTAAGAAAAAATGAGATCATAGAAAAGTTATTGCCTAAGTAGGCAATGCATTAATGACAATTTTAAGACTCAATGTATTGTATCTACATCACTGCAGAGTGAGCTAAGAAATACAAAACCTACAC